TCCAGCGATTCATGAAAATTTTATGTAACATCTGAAATTGGTGTCTCGATGGTCGGTCTATATGCTCCGCTGGATGCCAAGTGAAACCACAGGTACTTAGCTAAAAAAGTTGCTAGTATTTCGGCCCTTTTCAAAGTACCAAGTGACTTGACAACATTTTATTTTATCGGTCTTCCAGGTGTTGTGTTTTTACCGCTACTATCTTTCTTTATAATTCAATGCCTGTGATTTCATCTGACATCCAGTAAGAGATAAAGATTTTGTCAAGAACTTCCACGTTTCTAAAGTAGTCGTGAACTAAAATTTAGTCTTTGATTGAAATTGTTTACAATCTATAAATATTTGGACTGTTTTATAACGAAAATGCATATCATTCATTTTCGACGATTTGTCTTTTTAAAAAGTCGTAATCTTGGAAGCTGTTCCTCTGTTTACGCCTTACATTGCCAAGCGAATAGTCACGGTGTAAACGGATACAGAACAGGATTCTTATGTTCTGTGGCTAAGCGCTTAGCTAATTACGGTGCATTGTTGCTCATTTTATGCTCTATGGATAGGAATGAATTTTCAAGGAATTAGTCACTCGTATCCCAGCATGTCTCCCTTTCCTACTTGCAGCTACTATCTAATCAGCTGTAGCGTCATTTTTCCTTGTTAAGACTCATCAGCGCCACTTTATATGCAACGGCTCGCCAAAGTGATAACAACTAATAGGCATCCGGCGCCAAATGTCTCGTTAAGTGATAAATTTTATTGTCATTAAATCTCATGACGACATTTGATCTGTATCTTTCGATATTCATCAACTGACTGGTATTCAGAAAGTTTATCAACGACCATAGCTATGATATCTGAAAGATATGCACATCTAGCCCGGAAAATAGCGAAGAATAAGACAATTTGTTAATAAAAAGCTTTCAGTACCTGTAACTAAAGCACTGACTAATTGAAAAAAAAATATTTGTTTCTTATCAAACACAAATAATAAAAATGTAGCAAGGTGTTATAAGTTTAAAATATTAACAATGAATATTTTTAAAATATATAGTAGAAAACACCAACTTTATCACTCCCTAATCAAATTTGCAACATAAAAATAACACATGTTGCAATTACAGCATATCAACCTATTTTTATGTCAATGCAAAATAAGTCTATAACGCATAGGTGGCTGTGAAAAATAAAAGCTATGACAATTGTTTTTATTAATCCCAGCTGTCAGAATACGTTTAAAATAGTTTTGGGTAGTTAAGGTTTTCAAAATGGGTAGAGGAAAGGTTATTAGTGAGAAAATTCGGTTACTGATAATTAAATTTTTTAATTCTGGGAAATCAAACTCAGAAATTGCAACTTTGTTAGATTTATGGTAGTACAGTGTGAGAAATATTGTTAGAAGATATAACGTAACTGGTTCAATTAATATTAAGCCACGATATATGAAAAAAAGTAATATCACAAATGCCGACCGAAGAGCATTAAGAAGAATAATCGTGAAAAACAGGCGTGCCAATTATTTACAAGAAAGTGCTGTTGGAAGGAGAATTTCGAGGTCCACAACTCATAGAGAGGCCCACAAATTAGGATTTAGCACTTGCAAGATAAGTTTTCTTATAAAAAAAGTGAAGTAAAAACCCTAAAGTTGCACATCTTGTTTATAGGCTAAAGAAAAGCCACTATTAACTCCACTGCAAAAGAAAAATCTGCTTAGATGGGCTAAAGAACATAGACAATTGACACCTCAACAATGTTGTGTTGGTGACAGTCGCAGTAGAGTTATTCGCAAAAAAATGAAGCATTCCATGTTGACTGTCTGAAAAGAAAAGTGAAATTTCCAGCATCCATTATGGTGTGGGGCAGTATGTCATCAAAAGGAGTAGGAAAACTTCATTTTATTGATGGAAATGTGGATACAAACAAATATTTGGCAATGTTAGAAGAATCGCGTTTACCAGTGATGGGAGAATGTTTGACATCCGGCCAAGATTTTGAGTTTCAGCAAGATCGTGCAGCGTGCCATACCTCAAAAAAGGCTATAAAATGGATGGAAGAAAATAATGTACCATTTTTGGGTTTCGGGCAGTCCAGATCTGAAACCTATTGAAACTTTGTGGTACGAGATGAAAAAGGTTCTACGACAACATCCTGCTCGTACAATCACCGAACTGAGACAAAAGGTTCAAGAAATATGGAATTGTTTTACACCAAATTTTTGCCAAAACTTGGTTAACACTATGCCCCAAAGAATTTCAGCCGTAATAAAAAATAAAGTTGATGTTACCCAATGGTAATCTTTCAATAGTTGCTTTGTTAACTTCGCGCATTTATTCGCATTTTTTTTCAGACGTTCTATTAGTTATAGGTCTAAGTGATTTCAATTATGTATTTTTTACGACTAGAGTGTATCTAAAATGTTTTTGAGAAAATAAATAGTTTGAGAAGTAAATAGTTTCGTCATGTTTAGTTTATGAAGGCATATTTTGGTACAAATTTTGTAATATATAACTGGGCACAAGTTGACCCCTCTTAGAATTAGGTAAGCTGCAATTCTACAGCGTTGTAAGTTCTACATCTGTACGTCCACACCTTTACATATATTGTAAATATGTTACTTAACACCGATGCCTACAATGTCTACGGCGTTGAAGACCTGGGATGACAGCCATAGATCGCTTATATTAGATACATGTAAGAATCGCGACCTCACCAGCGGTAGCGGCCAGCTCGTGGCAGGTTTACTTCTATCTTCGTTTCCCTAGACGCGTATATTGAAGATATGCACAATGCGAACAATAATTTCGATGCGTTTATACGATTTTCCCACGAAAAATCTGGTAACGCTGCACGGCGGGCACTTACCTCGTCGTGCACTGCTCGTATACGCGTGTGTTGAAAATATTTCGTTCATTCGAAATTTTAAGGGAAAATGTTGGAGAAATCAACGATATTTGAAATATTTCTAATAACTGCTTAGAAATACTGGGGTTGCAAAGTATAAATGCACTAACAACTAGACATTCACTCCCCCACATTCTAGAGCCTATAATCTCCAATTTTAAACCCTGCAAAAATAGTTATTTATTATACAAGAGAAAAAAGTACTAGATTTTAATGCTTTAAAATCTAGTATTTTTCCCGTGTATTTTTCTGTGACGGAAAAAACGACGATTTAATACCGAAAAATAATATTATTACAATATTTAAGTCAGAAAACTTTTAAAGTAATCAAATAGCTGTCAATTTAATTTTGTGATTTGATTTAAAAATGGTGAATTTAGTGGTTGTTTAGAAGTTATTTTTAATACTCGTTAGAGACGCTGTTATTGGCTTATTTTTCGGAACTGGCACAACAACAAAAGCCATCAACAGTGTGGTCGAATTACTCAATGATTGAAAGTATGTTACGATCCAATAATAATGTAGACATTTCAAAATATTTCAAACTAATTATATTTCTGAAACAAAATGAGAAAGGTTACAAGCCCAAGAAAGGTGCGATTTTTACGGGTACACAAATCAGTGTTTTTTTAAAATAAAATTCCGAATGAAGTTTATTTAATGGCCAAGGTTGTTGTTGTATTTGGGATTGCAGGATCTTGTCGAATTTGTGGAATCAGCCAGCTAACATTAGACTACATTGAAGATTCGGGAACGTTATTAATTGTGACACTTGAGGAAACAAAGAATAATGTAAACAAGAGATTTGTAGTTACTGAAAAATATATTTTAATAAATTTTACCGAATGTACATAGCCCTTCGTCCAGTAGCAGCAAAGGATCGACGCCTGTTTTATGCATATCGCAATGGAAAATGTATCAATCAGGTTGTGGCTAAAAACCAGTCTTATAAGGTTCCCGAAACAGTGGCTAATTTTCTTCAACTTAGAAATGCTAACTCATATACAGGTCATTCATTTCGATGATCGTCTGCTACACTTTTAGTTTAATCTGGGGGAGACTTGATGACACTGAAGAAACATGGCGGTTGGAAGTCATCAACTGTCGCTGAAGGGTATGTTGATGAATCGGTAGTACGCTGGACAAAAATAGCTAATAAAGTATTTAGAACGTGTGGTAGTGCTGAAATAACACCGGATTTGCGACCAAGTACACCAACGGGAGTTGTGATGGCAGAAAAACATATAATTACAACACAAGACTATTGTACCGAATAGTTTAAGGAACGTGTCATTCATGCAATGCACATTTAATAATTTTCATTTCGATATACAGGAAATGTAACTTTATTGCATAATAAAATATTCCGAAATTAATTATATACCTTTGCTTATGTGTTTATCCAATATCCGGGAAAAAAAGTACTCATTTTTTCCCGGGGAAAAAGTAATTTCATAACAAGTGCTATTTTGTTACCTGTCAACAGAGATAAAATGACATACCTTTTTCCCGACACCAAAAAAATTGATTTTAAGCGACGGAAATGAGTGGCACGGTTTTTTGTGATGTAGAAAGAATTGAGATATACCCTTGTCCACTCCCCTACAATCCCCCATTTTTTTACCACTAAAATTCTTTTCAATCGCCACTGGATCGATTTTCAAAAACTATAAATCTTTTTTGTCTTTAGCATAGTAGTAACCTTGTGTGAAAGTTTTATCAAAATCCTATCGCTACTCACTGAGTTATAGAGGGGTAAAGAAATGAGTGACATGATTTTCCGTAATGTACATATCATATAACTCCAAAAAAACATAATACATCATTTCGTAAGTTCTTCGCAACTACTTCTCCGGAAGTAAAAACATAAGTTTCATTTTCAGTTTTTGCGATTGCAATACTCCTTAGCGTGGGAAGGAAATGCAATAAGAGCACGGCTTTCGAGCACCGGCAAGGCTTTACTATGACTATGCATAAAAACGATCAGGAAGATCAAAATGAAGTTAGGAATGTTAGGGTCACGTATCATATCGAAAGGTTTCGAATTTATGTTTTTTGATGATATAGAATCAAATATCAACATTCAACAACAGATTCTCTTTCAGGAAATCTGTCAGCGACCACGGTTTGTCGTCGAGCGATCTCCAGAAGACGCGTCCAGTTATTCTGTGGAATCTGGAGACCTAGGAGACCCCTGGTTGCTGGCTGCTGTCGCATCCCTCTTGCTCACCCCAAAGTTCCTGGAGAGGGTAGTGCCTCCTGGGCAGGGCTTTGATCCGACTCACTCCTATTGCGGAGCCTTCAGGTAATGTTCACCAAGAGGGTGAATATCCATTCATAAAACTAAGACATAAAATTCTCAATTTCTGTTTATCCACAGGTTTCGCTTTTGGCATTTCGGGGAATGGAAGGAGGTGATTGTAGATGACAAACTGCCCACATATAAAGGAAGACTAGTACACTTGCACTGCTCAAACGGAACTGAATTTTGGGCTTCTCTACTAGAAAAGGCTTACGCAAAGTGAGTGATCAAATCCATCCACTTTCTTTCGTTCTAGCTGAATCTTTTCCTTACTCTTTCTTCATTTCTCGCTCTTTCAGACATCAGAACTTCAATTAATTGAGAAATGGTAGGAAGGGTGTGAGAGTTAGACTGTATTATTAATATATTATTGGTATTCATCATAAAGTGCATTTGGTCCAATTAATAAGTAAATCGCAGTAGTGAAAGATAATGAAAGTGTGATAATCTGGGTCTCTCATTAATATTAAATATGGATATAGCATAACACTTGATCATAAGCAGAAAATTCATACGATTTTGTGGGTGCTTGGCATATGTAAAATATAATGAAACCTTATATGTTACTTGTCATCGATACTAGTATATTATTTAACATAAAATATGACAGAGAAAGTATCGAAATTATCTAATATGGTTAATGAAATTTATATAACATTCCTGCCTGGTATTACTATGTAATATTATGATACATCTTGTATACCTCATCAAACTATACATGTTTCTGTTAGAATACTATTACCCTCCAGAGACATCATAAAAATGCAGGATATATTTTAAGTTTTCTGAATGAGATACCTACTAGATAGACAGCCCTAGAACAAAGCTTTGTGAATGAATGTATATGCTATGCTTGGACGGAATCCCACCGCAACTTAGGTTGGCAGACTTGATTTATCAGTAAAATCCGATACCTTTATTATAAATTTCAGCTACAAACACATAAGGAATAAATTTCCGATTTACAAAAAAAAATCATAGCCGTTTCTAAATTTGTCAGCAGGTTGATCCATCACTCGAATAAACCTCGTAAAAGTGACATATAAATCCGAACACCCAGTTTAAATGGTATTATTTTAATAAAAGTTGGTGAATGCATTTATCTTACTGTAAATAACAAGTGAAAAAATGTTCAGCCTTATCAGTTGGACATTCCGGTTTTTATACTGCTTTTTTTTAATTCACTAACGCTCTAAAAATGAATATTTCAGCCGCAGTAAAGAATCAACGTTGGCGGATTTTGGTTCTTGACATCATTTACGATCGGTTACGATGCCTAGAGTACGGAGACCTGTACGATTTCGTCAACTTAGTCAGTTTGATAGGGGCCGTATAGTGGGACTTCGGGAAGCTGGACTTTCTTTTCGGGCAATTGCAGTTAGAGTGCAAAGAAGTGTAGACACTGTGGTTAGGTGTTGTCAGGCATGGCTTCGAGAAGGCCGTACGCAAAGAGCAAGGGGCACTGGACGCCGCCGTAGAACAACAGACCGTGAAGATCGCCGCCTAAGGTTATTGGCCTTAAGGGACCGTTTCTCCACTACCAGGTCCATTGCAAATGAATGAGAAGTTTTGGCTTGTTTTCATACCGGCCACACTGGGTCCTCCCTTTAACTCGAGAACACCAACGTAATCGCCTTGAGTGGTGCAGACAACGGTCACTCTGGGATCAGGAATGGAACAGTATTGTCTTGAGTGACGAGTCTCGATTTTGTTTAGGCATGCACGATGGTCGTGCCAGGGTTAGAAGGCGACGTGGTGAAAGGAGGAATCCACAGTTTTTTGTTGTAAGACATGTTCATCACACTGTTGGAGTTATGGTTTGGGGTGCTATAGCTTATGGTTCCAGGTCACCTTTAATCTTCATCAGAGGTAACATGAACGCGCAGCGTTATATCCACGAAGTTCTAGAACCTCATCTTTTACCCTATCTTGACACCCTGACAGATCCAACTTTCCAACAAGATAATGCCCGACCACATGTTGCAAGAGTCACATTAGACTTCTTTCAACATAATGATGTCACATTGTTACCATGGTCACCAAGATCTCCCGACTTATCCCCAATTTAGCACGTGTGGGATATGATGGGTAGGAGATTGCTCAATTTGCAACGTCCTCCTCAGACTCTAGAAGCACTTCGAGAGGAGTTGGTGGTTGCCTGGAATGAGATACCACAGGAGAACATTGACCACCTGATCAGAAGCATGCCTAGGCGCGTTGGAGAATGCGTAGCACATCAGGGTGCATCCACACATTACTAAAGGTCAAAGGGCTTTAAAGCAGTGCAATCATTTTGAAATTTTTATCATTTACTTATTATGCTTCACTAAGTACTTATACAAAATTTTATTAAAATAAAACCATTTAAACTGGGTGTTCGGATTTATATGTCACTTAGTATACTTATAGGTAATATTTTCTGATTAATTTTTTAAAATTGGTATGTGCTAGTTCACAACATGTAGAGCAAGTATTTTATGTTCTTGCTTTCTTGACGGCTTGTAATGGCTACCTAGTGATCATTGATTTTTGTCATTGTCCATAAATTGCAGACTGGAGCACCCTAAGCAGACAGCGAAAGAAAGTGAAGTATTGAAGTTCGTTCATATTGGGCCTGTTTGTGCACAGAGTAGGATGTGAAAGAAAAAACATGTTTTTCGTGGCATGTTTATTTGCTAGATTACGGACTTCGAAAGAGAAGCCGATTAGAGAATTGGGAATTTTTCGAAGAATTTTTTAGAATTGTGAAGGATCATACTGGGGTATGAAACATAGCGTTTTACATAGGAAATTTTCTGTACCTTTTGATAAAAAACCAAAGAGCATTTTGAACCAAAATTTGGGCGACATTGTATTTATTATTTTCGATTTTTTTTAATACAAACTAAAGTGTGTTGAAAATACGTTAGAAATTACGCATTAATTAAGAAGGTACGTACTTTTATGAACATACATGTCGCCTTGGGTATGATGTTAGGCGCTTATTAGGTTAACTGGTATAGGCTACACTACAGCACTGATAATCTTTTTGAATAAATTTCCACATAATAGTATAGTTTATCTTTATGCGAATTTTTTAAATATTCAAATTTGAAAAAATAGAGTGCAAAAACCGGAAGTCGACGCTTCAAGCGCTACTTCTACAATATTTATCCTGATTCATTTTACTCCAAAGTATAGCCTGATGTGCATTTCAAATACACCATAAGTTATAAAATGGGATGCGCATTTACTGAGGAGAAATATTTTTATGTACATACATGACGCCCAATGTGAACGAATTTTAAAACCTCACTTTTTTTCGCTGTCCGCCTCACGTGAAATGCCCCAGCATGTCAATCACAGAGGCACCATTGTAACTTCCAATAAAATTTGACCCCTTGAGAGTAGCTTGTATTGGTAATATCAAGGTGAATGTCACATACTAATAAATGTTCATATTGAAAACACAGTGATGTAATGCGTTTGTTGTTATGTATGTTTATAGGTATAAGCATCTGTTAACCTATATTTATTCTCGAGTATGACACAGGTCAGGGATCAGTCACCTCCAAACGGATTAAGAAACCCGTATTTCCATGTCTATTCACATTTTAATAGCTCTTGTCTATTACATATGTCCAATTTTATAAAACTGGATTTTTCTATGCAGGTTTTATGGATGTTACGAACAGCTGACTCATGGTTCGACGACCAGAGCTCTGCAAGATTTAACGGGAGGTATCGTCCAGAGCTTTGGCTTGACCTACCAAGACCGATTCCTTACTTTTCAGGTCTTGAACAGCGCAGTACCCAGATCTAGTCTTCTGATAGCTACCATCACTCAGGTAACTACTACTTATCTTTCAGTTTGACATTCAGTATTAAGAAGGATGTGTCTTTAAGCCTCTCAATATAAAATTTTCATCAAATAAATGTCCCGAAGCCATATTTGAAGTCGGACCTCTCAGCAGTCTCAGCAAAAAACGGTCATCAGATTCGCGAGCAACTCACCCCATTTACCTAAGAAGGGCGTTATGGTCGAGATTGTGAGAGCGCTAATACAAAAATATTCGGACACGATACTAAAAAGAAAATAATAGCAGGCCATGGAAACAAAAAAGTGTTTATTTACAATTTGACGTTTTGATTTAAGAATCAATTTGCTTTAAATTTCGCGTGGTGAAACAACAAACGGTGCAATCAGAGTTTTAATCACAAGATTGTTTCATCAAGGAAAGAGTTTTCGGAATATTGCTGAACAAATAATGTCGCAAAGTCTACGGTGACAGATATTGTAAAAAAGTCTAGAGACACAAGTTCAACTCAAGTTTTAACACACGGTGTAGGTAGACGACGTAGAATTCAAAGACCTCTTTTTCGTATTTGTAAAGCTTGTCATCGAGGTACTGTAAGGAACATAACACCAAAATGGAATGAAGAAACAGCAAGAAATGTTTCACGGAAAACGTACCGTCGGTGGATTCATAAGTTTGGTTTACATTTTCATGAGATACGTTCGCTGCATTTAAGGGACATATGGCATATTTATTCCGTAGAATATTTGCTTTTGACAAAAGAAAAGCCGTTGCTTATGGAAAAACAAAATAAAAGGCGATTAGCGTGGGGCGATAAGGAACGAGCAATGTGGACTCACGACCTTCCAGTAGTACTGATTTAAATACTATCGAAACTGTATGGTACAAAATGAAGCAGCAGTTAAGCAATGATCCACAATGAAACATTTCTGATTTACGAGTAAAATTACAAAATATGTGGGATTCTTTTAAGGTGGCAGGCTGCGGAAACCTTGTTAATACTATGCAAGCCAGAATTAATGTTGTTAAGGCAAAGGAAGAGGTAACGAGCTATTGAAATGGTTCGACCGAACATTTAGGTGGCAGCCGAATATTGCGTTGTTGTTATTAGTTTAGTTTTATAGTTTAATATATTACTTTATAATAATTTTGTTAAAATGATGCCCAAACAATACAGGGTGTTTCAGTTTATTGTTGCATAACTTTAAGATTCGATAGAACTTTTAAAACTAATGCATAAGGTCTATATAAACATGTGTCGAAAAATGCGTGGCTTCCGAAATACAGGGTGTTTAAATTTACTTTCTAAAATAGTTTTTTTTAAATATTTCGAACAATATTTGATGTATAACAGTGAAAATTGGTATACAAGGGTTTTTTGGTACGACAAAACGAACCATAGTTTTACTGTAGCCGCTAGAGGGCGCTCTCTACTGTACCTAAAGTGTATTAAAATGACCGAAAAAATTTTCTTAGTGCAATTTTTTGCTTTTTAAATTAAAAAACTGATTATTCGCACTTTTCAACATAAAAAAGCTCTCTTGTGAATTTTCGTTATAGTTAGCCGTTTTTGAGATATTTCGATTTTTAAGGTTCGATGCATTTTTAATTATTTATGGGAAAATAACGTTAAAAAGTCAGTATCTCGATAATTTTTAGAAGTAGGCTGTGCCTGCAAATACTTTTGAAATTGAAAGCAGAATAAGGTTAAGCGTCAATTAGTTGACAGTTAGTTTTGTTGGCTGTTGAAACCTGAAACGTTTTTTTGCAATTGTGAATGCACGAAATTTACTTTCTTTAACCTGTTTTTTTTGTAAGTTTTATAAAAATGCCATTTTTATTCTCCAATCAAGAGTTAGCGGATATTCATTTTGTGTATGGCTTTGTAAATGGAAACGCAGCAGAAGCAGCCAGAGAATACGCACGAAGATTTCCAAACAGACGACATCCAACTCGCTCAGTATTTGTAAGAGTGCTTTGCCAAATAATTGTAAATGGTTTTGGAAATCTCCAAAGGGATCAAAACATAAATGTTCGTCAGCGCAGATTTACCCGTATGATTCTGCGTGAGTTTGTTAGAGATCCGACCACAAGTGTTAGGAGAGTTTCTGGTGCCTTGGAAATTTCAGTAAGCCATGTTCACCGTGTTCTTAGAAATGACCATAGACGTCCTTACCATTTGCAACCTGTGCAAGGACTACAGCCAGGGGACGGGGAACGAAGAATCATATTTTGTCAGTGGATTCTTGATAGAACTGATAATATTAGGGAGTTTTTAAGTAACGTTTTATGGACCGATGAGTCATGCTTCACTAGACGTGGAGTGTTAAATTTTCATAATCAACATATTTGGTCGCATGAAAATCCGCATGCAGTTCGGGAAAGAAATTTTCAGCATGAATTTAGTGTGAACGTGTGGATTGGTATCTACCGTAATCGACTATTTGGACCCTACCTTTTGCCTGCAAGGTTAAATGCTGCGACCTTCTTGGAATTTTTAAAGGCTGAACATGCAAATATGTGGGATGATGTTATGTAAGATTTAAGAAGATTGGCCTGATTCCAGCTTGATGGCTGTCCAGCTCATTATTCGAGAATAGTTAGAAACTGGCTGGATGAAAATTATCCAGAAAGATGGATCGGCCGTGGAGGACCAGTCGCCTGGCATCCACGATCCCCTGACCTAAATCCATTAGATTTCTTTGTGTGGGGATTTCTAAAAGAAAAAGTGTACCAGACTCCCATAACCACAAGAGATATGCTAATAGACAGAATCAGTAATGCATGTGATGAAATAAGGCCTTATTTGAATAATGCTATACCACGTTCGATCATTCGTAGATGTGAATTGTGTATTGAACAATTGGGTTTACATTTCGAGCAACTACTTTAGATTTTTTATGTTTGTCTTAATTTGTTAAAAGTAATATTGGAAAATTAAACAAATTAATATTCTGTTTTTTGTGTTTATTTGGAGTTAGGAATTATTGCTGTGTTTAAAAACACAATCTAAACGACCATCTTAATTACTTGTAATGCCCAAATCGAAAATGAAAAAAAAATATTATTCTCCCATAAATAATTAAAAATGCATCGAACCTTAAAAATCGAAATATCTCAAAAACGGCTAACTATAACGAAAATTCCCAATAGAACTTTTTTATGTTGAAAGGTGCGAAGAATCAGTTTTTTAATTCAAAAAGCAAAAAATTGCACTAAGTAAAAATTTTCGGTCATTTTAATACACTACAGGTACAGTAGAGAGCGCCCTCTAGCGGCTACAGTAAAACTATGCCCATGGTTCGTTTTGTCGTACCAAAAAACCCTTGTATACCAATTTTCACTGTTATACATCAAATATTGTTCGAAATATTTAAAACAAACTATTTTAGAAAGTAAATTTAAGGAAATTTCGGAAGCCACGCATTTTTCGACCCATGTTTATATAGACTTTATGCATTAATTTTAAAAGTTCTATCGAATCTTAAAGTTATGCAACAATAAACTTAAACACCCTGTATATTTCAATGCCTTATAAAAGAGAAAAATTGGTTTATAACTTTAAAAAATAAACTTTAAGGTAAAATAAGATGATGTCTTTGTATTAGGGAGGAGTTTCTCAACGGAAAAAATGTTTTGGCCTCCGTGGCTACAAAACTCCTACCTACATTGGGGTACCTAATTTAGGACGTTGATTTCGTATATGATAAAATTTAAAGATGTCTTTCAGGGTCTCTCAACGAGCTGAGTGAAAAAACAGATACCAGTTTCGTAATCTACCTGATTATTTCTAAACAAGTATTTTTGAATACATTGCCTATAGTTTTAAGGCCTCCTGCATTTGTCAGAAAAAAAACTAACAGTAGATAAGGGATTTTTCAACCCGACTCCACTAATGCAGTTTAAAAGAATTTTAAAACATTTTCTTAATAGTCTGTCTCTAATCAGTTACAGTTATTCGATACACGTTTGCATTATCGAAGAAATATGTTTTTTCAGTCGCCCTGAAGGAGTATGTATAGTTTACAGTTACAGCACTCATATAGATATTTTGAATTAACAGATTCAGATGTAACTTTTTTGACAATTTACTTGAGGACAGAAGCTTCAATACGAATCAAAATTACGGAGTCTAACCGGCGGCATAGGGGCCGTTCAAGTATTACGTGAGCACTATGGGGTGGCGGGGGTTCTTTGCTATGCTTATTTTGGATGTCATGGGGGGTAGGGGAGTCTAGATGATGATTACGTCACCGGTAGTTATTTACTTTTTACACGAATGGCAAACCTCACATTGTCTTTGCTTGAAAACGAAACGCATTTTCGGGGATTCCCGCAAATAATGCATACGTTTAATGAACAGCGCGCGGTAATTCCCCTACTCGCTTTAGAACCGAGTAGGGGAATTACCGCGCGGTGTTCACTTGTCTAAATTTCCTCTATCAGTGTATTGTTTCGTTTGGATACTATAGCGAGTAGACGTATTGTAAGCATAGTAAAGCAAGTTAACATTTGTGTTACCATTGATTCCATTAGCCAAAGTTTAATGTTTAAATAAGATGTCGTTTCACATAGACAAATCCAAATTATACCAAAAATTGTTTGAAAGTTTTAAAAAATCTCATACAAGCACGAAAGTACAAAATGTACGAAGGCTAGTTAACGAAGTGTGGCGAAATTACAAATTACAAGCAAAATCCGACAAGGAACTAGATATTATTGTATCTAAGAGAATCGAAGAAGAATTGCAAGTGACGACTAAGAATAAATCCAATCTAATATTTTTTTTCTAAGGTGAGTGACGAAATTATTTTAGGTACCTATGAGTACTAGAAATATTAGAAATCGCCAAAAAATTTCCCTTTACTGATTAGAAAATATTATGGCCTATCTCAAAGTATAGAGGTAATATTTATTACATTATAGATTTTATTTCTTATGATTGATTCCGTCAATTGGTGACAAAGTACAGGATGTTAGTTTTATACGTATATACAGAAAACTAACACCCTGTATTTTGTAATCGGAACGAATTGGTCGTTTAAACATATTAGATACTTTGTATTTATGTAGCTTAATAAGAGAATTTTTAGCAGAAGCCATAGAAAGTTTTGATTTTTAGGCAACCTGTAAACCTGCAGAAAAAACACAAATTATACAGTCAGCTTCAAATATGAAAAAAGAGGAAGAAGATAAAATAAAACCCGTTAATGAATCACAACAGCAATGCGAAATTAATGAAAATACAGATAAACACAGGGCAAAACCTTCTCAGGAAGCTATGAAAGATAAGATTGCTCTACTCGAAAAAAATCGGAATGCTTTGTATTCTGCCAGCGAGATACAAATTGACTATACACAAGGTTGAAAGAAAGATTATCTCGCGAGGCAGTTAAGTGAATTGAATATCCACCCGATGTTTGTCAAAGAATAAGCATTCAGTAATTTAATTTATGTATCGATAGAGTATTAAGAAAATTTTGTGCTGCCATGACAAAACTCAAAGATCTAATTTCACCGACCTGCTACAAACCTAGAAAGATAAAAACGTTTTTATGGTAGGACCTATTAAGAAATTGTTGAAATCTTCACCTTAATATAAAATTTCTAAAGTATTCATGTATATTTTTAACTTGATAGGTACTATTGTTTAGAAGGTGAATATTGTAGGTACTGGTTTCCGATTCTAAAACGCATTCTGATTGCTCGAATTTGCTCCCTAAGAGCGATTTTGATCCCCGCAGTTCAATAGTAAACTCGGATCGTAGAGCACCGTATCTCCGTAGGGTAGAGCCTTTGTACATTTTTTAAGAGCTTAAGAGCTTGGGACTTCCGCACGGGTATTAAGTATCTTGAGAAGTGACATTATGTCGATTTTTTCGACATTGTATTGATTTTTTTGTGACATTATGAAAGTATGTTCACATAGCACTAGCTGATGGACACGTTGTCAACTCGTTTTGTAGTTTTACGGGTTGCCTAAACGTCATGATGCTTCACTTACCAACATTTGGCTCTGATGTCATGTAAAATCTGCTTCAGGGATGGCAATACAACATAGGTGCATAGTGAGGATTTGTCTGCTAATAATATGTGTTGATGATAATTTCATTGGATATACTTACTTGAGATTCAAAGCTAGAAATTTGTTGCACATCCACTTTTTCTTATTCATTCTGGAAATCATATATGCAAATTTGCTGATCTTCAAAAATGAGAGAGATGGGAAAAGAAAATCACTGGTTGGTGAAGGAACAGGTGAGAAAATATGATACAGGCGGGAATATTTATGAAAGTGAAAAAATTATTACATTATTTTTTATTTTCAGTCATTTAAATTTTATAGATGCGATGCCAAATACTTCATTGGCAACATATCCAGTAATAATTGTCTCACACAGCCAATATAACTGATTTCATACATATGCAGACCAATACACATGATCATCCAGATGCGATCTTGCTTCAACCAACTTTCTTCTCAGAAGTGAAAACTACAGCCTACTCGGCTCACAAAACATATGCAACCAACAATGCGTGTAGCTGAGATATTCCTCCATAGATGGACGCTCACAGCGGCCACAGCGAGCAAACGTAGAATGAACTATTTCCACCCTAAGGACTACCTAGTCTGCAAAATGACACTATATTATATTTTTTTACGGTTTATAGGTTTCTTACATAATACTCATTATTCTAGGATAAAGAACATTCGAAACACCCAGGCACCTCATGCGCGGGCGGTTACGGCCACCATCCCTCCAAGCAACGATTGCGCCTGCGCAACGGCCTCCTAACTCGATCCGCCTACAGCGTGACCGGCTTGGCGCGCGTGCGCGGCACTTCGGTGGCCATCCACGAGGTCGCGCTGGTGCGGCTTAGAGCGCCATCTAGCGGCGCGGGCGAATGGACTGGGGCATGGAGCGAACGATCATGGGAGTGGGACGGGCTAACGCCTGGAGACAGGGAGATGCTAGCTGGAAGGTGTAAGGACAAGGGGGAGTTTTGGTGAGTATGTAGAAATTTGTCAATTAAAAAAAGGATTATGCTGAAGCATGAATACTATGGAATTAAAACATCACAAAGTGCTAGTAATATAGTCCGTGCTGATGAGTTGCCAAATGGTAGAAGACAGCTGTCTGGGTCGGACAAACGAAAGCTATATCAAATATCCTGATGAGTTGCCAAATAGCATGAAACAGCCGTTCCTGATTGGTCGTCTGTGTTCAAACGAGTGAAAGCTATGTTACTAGTTTGTTCAATGTCGAGTAGATCGCATCTGCTATACCTCCAGAAACGACGGCATCTAGCGGGCATAGTGGTGACCCGGCTGTCAAATGTTAACTGGGATATAGATCTAAAACGCAGTTTGCTATTCCAACTTTCGCAGTGATAGATTCTTTTAACTGATGGCACTTTGTGCTGTCTTGTTTCGATAGATAGAGATCCTCAGCTCAGTTGTCCTATCCGACACCAAGCTTAAGCCATACTGACGAGCTGCCAAATAGCTCAAAACAGCTGTCCATGATTGGCCATCTGTAATCAGATGAACGGAAGCTATATTACATATACTAGCTTATGATACTATTGCCCGAGAAGATAAACCTACGCACATGCGACAAGAATATCTATTTTGCATGTGTGACGTCACTCAGTGACAAAATTCTCCAGAGGCGAATGACAGATGATCGGTTTTATATGGCGCTTTAGTAGGCAGTTCATGAATAATTTGTGATCTGGTGTGTTTGTAGTTGAATCTCTACACAGCTCAGTGAAATATAATTGAAATATTAAGGAGAGATATTGAAGAATCATCTGAAGTCAGGAAGGGGAAAATGGTAGAATAATTTAACCTCTGACGGGTAAGATAGCAAGCTCAACTCAGGGTGACGAAGTTGGTGCATGAAGGGGTGGCCCAGAACTCGACCGAAAATAACACATAAAAGAGTCGTGTGCTTTCCAAATTATACACCCAGCACCCCACAAATGAGGTGCATGTTTGCGGCAAACTAAAAGATCATCACAGGGTGTAGATTTTTCCGATTTTTTAAGAACTATAGCTTGGTCTATCCTCCGTTTGCGGATTGACATCAATTTCTGGGACACTTTTACGTTCGGGAGACGAAAGTGGAAATTTTAGCGTTGTGAAACTGTGAAAGTTTAAAGCCGTTCTGTTAAAAAGGTGGTAAGACTATACTTTAGCGCATATCGCAAATATTTCACTTCTTATTTTAAAATGAAAGACTAGGATGTAACTTTTACGAAAATATCATTTTTTCTTTAAGGAACCCGCTGCTTGCTATTTGATAGAACTTGAAAGTTGCATTTTTGGTGGTAAAAACGACAAAAGGGTGCTCTAAGTTATAAGAATATAACATACACTGTATAGTAATTACTGAGGAAAATAGATGTGAAACTGTAAGAAATCGTTGGCTTTTTCAAAGAAAAATTTTAAAAACTATCCGTATCATAAGTTGAAATGACAGTTCCAAATACACGCCTTTAAGACTATACTTTAGCGCATAAAGGCCGAAATTCTTTTTTGTTATCGAAAAAAATTTAAGAAATCAGCAGAAATTACCATTTTACAAGAAAAATAGATGTGAAACTATAAAAAATCGTTGTTTTTGCAAAAAAAAGGTTCAAAACTAGCCGTTTACCGTAAATGATGGTATTTACTTGGTAAACTATGTAGAGGTGTTGTTTTGAGGTTTTTTAATGTCCTCTTGAGATTCCTTAACCATTTTGCTTTGCGTATTTTCAATGAGATCAAAGTTTTTGCGTTTATATTAAATATTTGAAAGAACAAATAATTATCAATGGCCATTTTATAACGTTCATTTCTTGAGATATAAGATAAATGATATCCATTGTTGCCAAGTTGTACTTTTTTTGGGAGAAATTTAAATAAAAAAATGAGGTTATTTGTAAAATAAAAGTATTAATAACTAGTAAATGGCTTATTTCATGAGAAGCTATCCCAATATTTACTGAAATTCAGATGAAATTTTGAACAGTACGTGTCTAACCAGTGAAAAATGCACCAGCGGCTCAGGTGACATAAAAAATACATAAAGCATATTGCACATAAAAAACCCAACTTCGATTCGCTGATTTGGACCACGTCGCCAGGTTCACCCAATATATAATCGTTCAACATTATAGCTAAATAAAATCAACCACCATTTCATCAAATCGCCAACAATCTTGGTAATGTTTTCATTATTTAGAGACTGGTAATAGCTATTTTTTCAGTAATTTCTTATACATATATATATATATATATATATATATATATATCACATTTAATTAGGTATATTTTGTGACATCAGCTTCACTTTAAATAATTCTCCAAGTACATACATACAAAAAGTAAATAGATTATAACTGTAATATAGGAAAAGCAATAACCGAAGTATTTTTGTGAAAGGCATTCCTCAAGAAAGTGTATTTAGCTAACGCTATCGTAGAACACGAGGTAGCTTTAGTACAGTAAAACCTGCTGGCCACACCTCCCAATCGCGTATAAGTCTAATCAAGGTATATTACTATCTATGATTTGGCAACATCGCAACTAGACAGTGGCGGCTCGTGAGGTAGTGCCACGGTGCCATGGCACTACCTTGTCTTCTTCAAAAAGAATATTTTTTTCAATCTTCAATGTTTTACTTTATTTTTTGCTTTTTCATTTTTTTTTGGTATAAATTATATGAAGTGACAACACTGACAACGTGACAACACCGCAAGCACCCGAACCACGCGACGAGATATAAAGCATGCCTTGACCTTGACGTCATCAACTTGTGCCAATGTCGGGCCGGCCCAAATAAAAAGAGAGAAATTTTACCAGCATCGCATACGAGCGACAGAGATAACGCTACAATACACATTTTTATATGAGGTGAATAGCGAAAGACAAGTATAATTTGTGCCAGGCACATCATCAGTCGTAATTCGTTATCAAATGATATCGGCGGTGTTTTTGTTCGGTCGGTCGTTTCGCTATGATTACGTCTAGTGCTGATTTCGGTCTTTTTTTACCTGAAAAGTGAGAAATAACGTTTTTGTTTTAGTACGTCTAGTGTTAATGAACTGCTCTGTTTTGTGATCATATTTTTTACTGTTTTATTAAAACTAGTGAAAATGAATAAAATCGGGATATTAAAAAACTCATTTAGTGGTTTTTCGCTGGATCAAAAACTGCAAATTAAAGAATTAGGACGGCCAATACCCGATTTAAAAATTGAGAAACAAAGTGGTAGCGGACAAAAATCGCGCTGTCGCAAATTTAATAAAAATGTGTACGATAAAAACAGCTGGATATGTGGTTGTGAAGAAACGAATAAACTATTATGTGTTCTATTTGGAGGTGACGAGACTTGGTCAAAAAAAGGTACAGATGATCTTATACATATATGGGATAAAATGAAGACCCACGAAAAATCTAAAGTCCATATGAATAATGTTTTTAGCTTTTCTATTCTTGGTAAATTAAATATAAGGACTCAACTCAATTCGGCTTATCGCAATGATCTAATTAAACATAATAATCAAGTGGATAAGAATCGATATGTATTGAATAAAATTATTAATTGTATAAGGTTTTGTGGAGCATTTGAGTTAGCCTTAAGGGGTCACGATGAAAAGGAAAATTCGGAAAACAGATGCATATTTAAGGAGCTGGTGAATTTTAGCGCCGAATTAGACAACGAATTGAAAGTCCATATTCAAAGTGCCAAACTTTTCAAGGGTACCTCAAAAACAACTCAAAACGAGCTTCTTGAGTGCATGCTAGATGTTTATCATGAAGAAGTTAAGAAGGAGATTGCAAATTCTCCTTTTGTTGCAGTAATTGCCGATGAAACGACTGACGTAGCCTGTGAATTTCAGTTAGTTATTATTTTCAGATATTTGTGTAAAGGACAACCAGTTGAGAGATTTTGGAGATTTTACGTCCCCGACGGACACGATGCCAAATCAATCGCTGCATGCGTTTTAAATGTTGTAAATCCATTAATAGATCAAAATCCAAACAAATTAATAGCTCAAAGCTATGATGGTGCGTCTGTTATGAGTGGTGAATTGAATGGCGTTCAAAAGATTATTAAGGAAACTTATCCACTTGCAAATTATGTTCATTGCTATGCACACCAGTTAAATCTAATTATGACAAGCGCATGCTCTGTCAATAAGCAGGCTAGAATATTTTTCCATAATTTATCTGGATTGTGCTCTTTTTTTTCGACGTCTCCTCAAAGAACAAAAATTTTGTATGAAATAGTTAATCGCAGATTGCCAAGATCTTCCCAAACACGTTGGAATTTTCAGTCACGAGGTGTTCATACAGTTTATGAAAATAGGAAAGACCTGATTGAAGTTATGGACAATATAGAAAGTACTTCACGCGATTCTTCGTCGATTAATCAAGCCAGTGGGTACAAATTAAAGCTGCAAGATACAAATTTTGTATTTTGGCTAAGTATATTCCATAAAATAATGCCACATGTTGAAATTGTCTTTAACCAATTACAAAAAGTATGCACCGATTCTGTTAAGGTCAAAAATGATTTAGAGAATTTTGAAGCAGCAATTCAAACTATACGAGAACAAATGGATAGCATTATTGACGAGATTGAACGAGTGCAGAGAGAAACTGATGAACCGGCAAGAAAAAAAAGGCAAGTTGAAGAAGGCAGCAAAAAACGGGAAGCGTTAGAAATATGCGATGCAGTATTATCGCAAATAAGAACAAGATTTAACTTTTCTGGGCATTTAGTTGCTTCTAATTTATTTGTGTCTGAAAAGTTTTCTGTTTATAAACATCAGTTTCCTGAAGCACATTTAAATGACACATGCACACAATTTTCATTTTTAGACAAAAACAGGCTTAAAACTGAGTTACAAGTATTATATCAGAGAGAAGAATTGAGTACTACTTCTGGAGCTGTTCCACTATCCATTTTATTGAACGAGGAAGGATTAAATTGTACGTTTCAAGAAACTCTTAAGCTCTTAAGTATTTTAATCACTATACCGATGTCAACATCTGAAGCAGAACGCTCTTTTTCAATGCTGAAACGGATTAAAACTTTCCTCAGAAACACAATGAAGGAAGAAAGGCTTAGTGCTTTAGGAATGCTGTCTGCAGAAAAACATTTTGTTAGTGGCATTGAAAATTTTAATAATAAGGTAATCGAAAACTTTGCTACCAAAAAAGAAAGAAGAATGGACTTCATGTATAGAAAACTTTGAAGTTATAGGTACTTCTCCACACTTGTTTTATAATTTGGTGCGCGTGTGTAAATAGTTTTATTTTTGATTTTTTTTTTGGACATATAGATTTATTGAACCTCAAGAACTTTGACCACTAACTATCAGGGGTAAGTTATAAGTTATTCTTTACAATTTTGAATCGATTCAAAATTATGGCTTCCATTCTGGCACTACCTCACTGAATTGGCACGAGCCGCCACTGCAACTAGATGCAGAAATTATGATAGTGATGGGAATATGTATCTGAAACAAAAGAAATGACTACTTAACAATGTTCTATTTTCGTCATTAAAATAATGCAAAATTGCATTGTTGCTATGAACAGTGTCACAGTAATACATAGTTTATGTTACATTATATAATATTGAGCATTCTTTTGAGTAAATAAGAAAAAACCAGCTCATATAGCAGTATTACCACCCAAAATGCAACTTTGAAGTTCTATAAAATATCAAAAAAGAAAAAATGATATTTTCGTACAAGTTACATCCTAATCTTTCATTTTAAAATATGAAATGAAATATTTGTGATATGTAAAGTTCAGTGAAAAAAGTGCCTACGATCTAAATACAAATATATTTCTTGGGTGAATCGGATGTAGTACTTCACGAACTTTATGTCAGTAATTCGCCCTAAAAGGTCTAACTTTTTCAAATTACCACAGTGTACCGAAACTCTTCCTCTTCATATAACAGGAAGAATGGAAAATTTGCATCTATAATCATAATCCACGTGGCTGATGACAAATCAGAAATTAGGAAATTCAATAAGATGCCAAGAGCTTTTTAGTGAATTGCATATTTTTCTACTTTCCACAGGATGTCTTTCGATGACTTCTCTCGTCACTTCACGCAACTGGACCTTGTCCACATAGGACCTGATGACTGGATGTTGGAAGGAGCCTTGAGGTCCAAACAACCTTGGAGAGCTGTCTTGGCCAGGAGAAGATGGAGAGCGGGGTATAACGCTGGAGGGGGACCTCAATATACAGGTACTTACAGAAGGTTCAAAGTGTATTCAGAACCCTAAACTTGTCCGTTCTTTTGATCTGTGCATATTACATACACATCCTAGAATAGGTTACATGATTCTCGAATGTATCCGACTCCTATCGGCGACAGTCTCGTTGGGACACTAGGACTGTTACTGAGCCAATAAACTTTTTGTCACATATCAAAGGTAAACTTTAGTTGGAAATTGTTTTTACTTTCAGATACAACTGCAATGAACCCGCAATTCCACGTGCAAATTCCACGTTCCGCAGGTGGTAAATGCCACGTGGTTGTGTCTGTGACCCAGTATTACGAAACTGCACCTGCTGATGGCTGCAAAGGTAGACGTACCAGGCCACTGCATGCCATCGGATTCGCTGTATACGAAGTTGCACCATCGCTGCCCAGGCTCAATACACACATAGTGCAAGAACAGGTATGTTAGAACTCACAAATTGCGAAAAATTAAGGTGACACTGTCATCTATGAGCCGGTCGCGGTACTGCCGATCCCTTCGTACACTAACAGAAAACCACATCATCCCGGCAACTCTGAGTGACAGATTTCGCTTCTAAGAACCTGGACAAGTTCGTCCATCACATATTCGTCTCATTTTTTCTCAAGGGAGCACTAAGTAGTCACCATTCTACTAGAATTGACGTTATATGCAAAAGTTTCATAAATTAAACACAAGGAGAATATGGTATGTTTATTTTTCGTCTCTGCAACCGTATGCAAACTTGTTTAATGGTTCTTAGCAGTCATTGGTTCAGTTATTTTGAGCCAAAAAACACCATGCTAACAGCATACACGTGCTTTACAAATGTAGCATTTACTAAACACAGGCTGAATAGGATCCTATTTCTAGTCTCTTGAAGTGCTGATTTTAATTTCATAAACCTGAAATTTACTTCTCTTAAGACTATTTTTTATTTTCAGAAACCTTTAGATGTCACGAATCACTCAGTAGCAAGGGAGGTGGTGACATTTTTCACCTTACCTCCTGGAGATTACATAGTTGTACCTCAAACTAACATACCAAATCTAGATGGCAAGTTTCTGCTTAGGATTTTCACTGATGAACATAGTAACATATGGTGAGAGATAAGGTAATATTATTTTGGATAATCAATTTCAACTTTACCTCATTCTAGGGAAGTCAATGACGACAATATGATAATTAGGAATATAGCCCTGGAATTTATGGAGGAACAACATTCTGTTGCTGTAAGTAGAAGTTTTCAATCTGACTATACTTACAGCTAAGTATTCTTTTCGCTCTGTTACAACATGCTATAGATTGATATCATGTTGGAAGAGAGTAGCGTGATCCATCGTACGGCACTGATCTACGTATAGGTATCATCACTCTATTCAGTGACATTCTTGTATAATCTTAATTGAGATTTATAGAAAACAAGACTATTAAAAATTGTGTAATTTTATACATTGCTATTTAGAAAGCCATCCTCCGTTTATTTTTTGAACAGGTCAAATCAAAAAGTCGAAATTTGACAAACGATAACTTATACTCTCTACCAATTTGGTATATAACCATAGCTGATATCATTATGTATCGCCCTCGTATACTAGAAATACAGGGTACCGACGAGTCGCAACGACGACGCTTAGGCAACCAGAATTACGCAACCGTGTAAGGAGCGCGCTAGCGTTCGGGAGTATTCGCAGCATCATGAACATTGGACAGGATTTATGAAAAATACCACCATCAGCTTCGAAGAAGAATCTAGTTTTATCTAAAAAACGGAAAAAATATCTAAAAAACACTGGAGTGAATCGTCTATTCACCACATAAATACCCAGAGCGACAGTCGAGTAGCCCAGAACGCTAAGTCCAGTAGACCTGATTATACACTTCAGTGCAAGTGTTTTAAATCAGTCTAAAGATTTTGGATGCTAAAAAAAAATAATCTTCTTTGATGGCCGTCAGTTCCTCTTGAATTGTATCAAATGTCCGCAATGCAGTCGCGCATACTCCCGAATGCAAACAATCTGGAACGCTAACGCGCTGCATTCATGGTTGCCTAAGCGTCGACGTTGCTAGGGCGTCTCATCGATACAACAAAGATCTAATTCACCAGGGCTCTACAGTCACATATATATGTTTTCAGAGTGATGGTAGATCAAGCATAACAAAGCTCCTGTCAAGATATCCGCGAGAGGTTGATGCTAGTCAATTCCAAAAAATTCTCAAAGCGAACTGGAAACAGTATTTGTTAGAAAAGCCAAGCTTAGAGCTTTGTATGAGCCTCATCATGCTGAGGGACTATAACATAAGTGGTAGGGTCAACGTCAGTGATATTCCTTTGCTGTTACATATGCTTCAATTTTGGAGGGTAAGTAGAATGGTAGAGCATGTTTTCTATTTTTGTAAGAGGTCCATCAGGTTTTGCTCTCTACCGGGTATTGCAAGTTTGACTCTTAGCACCGATGGAAGATACAAACTCTGTTAACCCGAATTGCAATTTCTCAATTCTCTCAATTCGGAGAAACACGGAAAAAAACTGAATTTTCCCAGAATCTATTTTTTTTTTTGCTAACTTGACTTGATGGGATTCAAAAATAAATTGCACGGTATCATTGTCATTTTTCCTCCACTACAAGGTGCCATAATTAAAATTTTAATTTGGTTTTTCGTTTCTTATCCTCAATAATCAGATTAATTTTTATTATGGCCATTTCATTTGACCGACTTCGTATCTCTTCCAATGGTGAGAATCGTATTTGAAACGCCAGATATATTTCGCAAACTTGCTAATTTTTAGCAAGGGTTTTTCGTCTACACTTCTATTTGACGTGACTCTTTTTTGTAGCTAGCCTTCCAAAAATTCGAAAGAGGTCACAACAGCGCAAAAACATCTAGCTACAATTTGAGATCGTTACTTTGGGAAGCAGGCTGTACCGTTAGCAATAAAGTACTCGAATGTTTAGTACTGAGATTCGCCAAAAATCGAGTACTGACATCTGAAAACTATGTGATGTCGTTAGTTAGGCTATATTTAGCACATGGTATGTATACCCAAGGGAAACTTACTTATAAATGAGCTTTAGTATTAACAGATCTTCAGAATGGTATACATTTACCTGTTTTATTTTTACAGAGAGGTACCACAACCTCGACACAAAAATGAAGAGCAATCCGCTGTCACTGGAAGAGGTAAACTTAAACTCATGAAGACTAGATATAGGAGGTTAAACCGCGTAGGGAAAGACATGTATTCGTATGAAGTCAATAGTGGCGGTAGAGGTTCTGTGCATGACTATACATGCACGTAAAGGGGAGCTATGTAGATATGAGAGAGATGCCACATGCGCAGAATCTGAAATGGGTGGTCCATAAGTCCTTTGAAATTTCAAATTTGAATAAAATTTAACGGGTGAGTGTGAGCGGCGCGGGCGAGGTGGGGGCAGTATCTTCAGTGTCTGGGAATTAAGTCGCCATGGAGTGTTTCACTGGAGCGGATCGTGCTTTTTGTGTGCGCGCGTTTTATCAAAATAATGATTCGGCAACCATTGCGCGGCGTAAATATCGAGAATACCACAATTTACACTATTTTACAAAGTGTCCAACAGCTCAAACGATTAAGAACTGGGTTGCTAAGTTCGAAGAGACTGGTTCGACGTTAGATAAACAGCGGTAGGGTCGACCAAGGACAACTCGTATTGAAGAAAACATCAACATTGTGGCACAGTCTGTTCGTCAAAATCGTACCCAGTCTACTCGTAAGCGTTCCAGTGCACTAAACGTACCCAGAACGTCTTTACAGCGGATTTTAAGGAAAGATTTACGTCTGCACGCTTACAAAATTCAGTTAGTACAGGAATTAAAAGATAATGACGCTATTCAGAGACTAAACTTTGCGAATGAAATGTTGAATCGATTTTCTTCGCTCAATAATGTGTTGTTCTCGGACGAGGCTCACTTCCATTTAAACGGGCATGTAAATAAACAAAATTGCCGTTATTGGAGCCCCGAAAATCCAAGGCGTAAGCATCAGAAGCCCTTACACAGCCCTAAAGTTACAGTTTGGGCTTCTATGTCAGCGCATGGCATCGTAGGCCCTTATTTTTTGAGGACGACAGAGGTCGCGCATTAACTGTTACTTCGGAGCGGTATGTAGCAATGATAGAAGAGTTTTTGACACCAGCGTTGCAGAATTTTCCAGGCTATAATACGCAGACCTGGTTTCAACAGGACGGAGCAACTGCCCACACCTCCAACACTTTTATGCCCGTCGTCTGTCAACTTTTTCCCAGCAAAGTAATTTCTCGAAGAGGAGACATTTCCTGGCCACCACGTAGTCCAGATTTGACCCCAATGGACTTCTTTTTATGGTGCTACCTCAAGAGTAAAGTGTACGACACCACTCCGCGATCAGTTGATGTCCTGAAAGAAAATATCCGAAGAGAAATGGCAAGCATTACAGTGTTGACTTGCCGCGCAGTCATCGACAATTTTAGACGTCGTTTATATGAGTGCCGTGATCGTAATGGATTGCATTTAGACGATGTGATTTTTAAAACATAATTCCCATTCAATAAAGATGATAACAAAATATAATAATTCTTCATAATGTAACTAGTTTGGTTTTATTCCTTTTTTTCCAGCTCAAAGGACTTATGGGCCACCTTGTATTTACGGCGCAAGTAGACAGCTCGCCTCCACTCTCGCCACTGTTGGCTTGACCCCCACTCTATGAGTTTACCCTCCATCTAGTCTTCATGCTGGAACTACATAAAGACATCCATTTTCTAATCTTATTTCGTTTTAGATGATATTAATGACGATATATTCCTGAGAAGAAATATGGAAAAGCTTAAACAAACCAAAGACACGTATTCACTACAAATGGATATACCTGGAACTGTACAACTGAGATTATGCATCTTCTTTTTTTGTAAATACTGTTAGAATATGTATATACTAATATTTATAATCAAATTATTTATTTCAACGAATAACACAGCCTAAAGTATTTTGTTTAACAATATGAGTCTGATCTATCTGATCAACGAAGGTTATTCAATCTTGTCTTCTGATCGGGCTATGTAGAAAAGCGCACATTTCTGATTGTTGTTAAGAACTTCATGTACTGTGATGAATAAATAAACACTTGAAATAATGTTCGGAAACATTTATTTAAAAATATGTTACTCTTAGAATTTCGTTTACAATATTTCATTGTATAAAACAGCGAGTCTTAAAACTAGGGTAAAACGTAAAGGATTCCGAAGCTTCACACGGAAGTACACTGTTCTGGTTTATATTTTGGATGAGTTAAAGGGATCTTTAAATTCAAAGCTCTTCTTATGGAAACTATCTTTGAACGATATATCGATATCGTAACTCAACTGAAATCAAACTGTTTATGCTAGGCACAACTAACAACCAACTTCTAGGAACTTAAAATTATATCACAGCATATGCACAACACACCTAGGAGTGAAAATATCAAGTTACAAACCCCTAACAAGGTTCATGATAGAAGTATTAAAACCAGATTTGTTAAATTGATAACGGAAGGCATTTTATTTTATCCCAGATAAAATTTGTGAACGTTGACAGTTCGCCTTGATCGGAATTTGGATCACATTTTAACTGATCCAAAACACAAATTCCAACTTAGTTTCACAGTCTTGTCCATCTTGTCACATCATACATACAAAAATAAAGTCTGAAATGCTGGAAAAAGTTGAGCGTTGCAGGTAAAACTAGCTCTGGAGTATTGATGCATCTCCGAAATTGAATATTTACAACTTAGCTCTTACATTCTCTTACAATCTTGAGTATTGCTTATGACGTCCTGCCTTCATCTGTACAAAAATATATACACGAAGAAAGAACGATACAGACTAGATCCTATAGCTATTATCTCGTTTGCAGTAACTTAAAAAAGTTGGACAGCCCTTGGTTGTTAGGTAGCTTCAATTCCGACAGGTGACATTTGTTTTTCAACCTTTCGTACTGGGTTCTGACGGCATCTGTCAGTGCTCTTTTGTATCTATAGGCAGTTCTATCGACCACCGATGTTGTTTTGATACAGTCGTCACCTCCAAACTCACAGACCCTGTAAAGCAAAAAATGTGGGGTCATGTAGATTGGCTCTGCATTTCCGATGATACAGGGTGGCGCAGAGGAAACGCATGTTTTCTGAGTGAATAGTATTTCGCACGGTGAAGTGAAGCAGAGAACGCAGGCAATACAGTTTTAGCCATGCCACCGCCAGTTCAATGTTGAACGCCAAGAGTCAATTCCAGATCGAAATACGATACTACTGGATCTGTAGTGAAGAGGAAGCCACCTGGCCTTCTCCGTATCGTTCGAACACCAGGCAATATCGAAACAGTGAGAAGAGCGGTCCTTGATAGTCCTTAACGGTCCACTAGGCGACAAGCTCCAGCTCTGCGTATGTCCCGTCGATCGTTACAACGCATTCTGCACGATTTACAATTTCATCCATATAGATAATGATTGTGCAAGAGCTAACGAAAGTGATTTTGCACAGCGTAGACAGTTTTGTGCGAGAATGCTGATGATCCTAACGTCGTCATAATGATGAGAAACGAAACACACTCCCATTTAACAGGATATGTAAACAAGCAGACACTAACGACCCTCGCATAGTGAAAAATTGACTGTGTGGTGCGGAATTAGTAAATTAGGTATCGTTGGGCCTTACTTTTTTGAGGAGGAAGAAAGAGCTGTAACAGTTACCTCAGCACGTTATGTTCACATGTTACAAAATTTTATGTTACCCGAACTTCAACGGCAATAAGTAAACATGGGAGAACTGTACTTCCAACAAGACGGAGCCACAGCTCACACAGCGAGAGCATCAATGGAATTTGTTCGACAAATGTTTCCTGAACATGTTATTTCCCGTTTCGGCGATGTTCCTTGGCCTACACGCTCCCCAGATTTGTTTGCATGTGACCTCTTTTTGTGGAGTTACCATAAGGCTGAAGTGTACCCTCACAAACCCCGTAGGTTACAGGAACTGAAAATTGCTATCCGTCAAAAACTCGCAAGAAAACCACAAGAAATGATCCTACGTGTAATGCGAAGAAGGGCGACATTTGAGTCAGACAATTTACCATAATTAATTTAAAAGTGCGCTATTATTACTTCATTTAGCTGTAGTCAAAAAAAAAATTATCTTAAACATAAAAAACGTTATGCTTACGTGAAAATCATGCGCTTCCTCTGCGCCACCCTGTATATACTATACTACAACTATTTAAAACTGTAATGACTCATACGCTTGATCAACACGTGATCAGAGCTCGATCCCGGCTTCCTTCCAGTACAGCCTTATAGCGTACGACATATGTCGTTTCTGTGGCTTTGCGGTGGTCAACAGCACAGACAGAGATGGAAATAATGGCTGATTGTTCTCCGCCGGTAGAACCAATGAAATCAAAGACGCGCCTCGACCGGCAGACTCATAGGCGTCGGCAACGCATTGGAACTTGTTTCGTTGAGCGATCGCATATTGTGTGTTTTTATAAGAATTGTTGTGTGATTGTTATTGTTGTGGTTTCTGTGGTTACTGTTTTGGTTATACTTAACCATGGAGAGTACAAATGGCACGAGTGGAAGTACTGAAAGCCAGGGAACAAGTAGACGGCTTCGTAAAGCACTGAAGAGGGACGCGAAGGAAATCGTGCTCAACGTGTTCAATTATCTGAACAGAACTATGTCGCAGGGAGATGCACTCGCGCGTTGTGAAAGTATGACAGGCGTTCCAGAGTGGACCATTCGCAGGGTGGTGCATGAAAAGAAGAAAACTGGAGCTACTACTGATCCAAAGTTTAATTTGAAGGACGAAAGGCCGTTAAATTGGATGACGATAGCAAAATGGCGTTAAGGCGAACCGTACATTCATTCTTCTTTAGGAATGAGATACCAACCCTCAAGGCTGTACATGCAGCGATCAAGGAAAATGAAATTATACCCCAAATGAGCGTCGAGGTAATGCATGCACGAAATTAATTTTCGTTACGAAACGCGTAATCGGAAGTCAGTATTGATAGAGAGACCTGAAATAGTCGCCTGGCGTCGAAAATACCTACGCGAAATGATTGAATATAGGCGACAAAGCAGAAAAATCTATTATTTGGACGAGACATGGGTAAATGCAGGTCACACAGTTAAAAAAACCTGGATAGACAAAAACGTAGTGAGTAACCGACAAGCAAGCATTGAAGGCTTGTCAACAGGTCTTCGTGGACCGTCAGGGAAAGGTAAAGATTGATCGTAACTCATATTGGTAGCGATAGTGGCTTTTTAGAAGAGTGTGACTTGATTTTCGTCTCTAAGAAAGTAGGTGATTACCATGACGAAATGAATGCCAGCTGCTTCGAGAGCTGGTTTCAAGGGGTGCTTCAGCGAGTTGAGCCCAACTCTGTGATCGTCATGGATAATGCTTCCTACCATAGTCGTCGAGCCGAACGTGTACCGACTATGGGATCTCGAAAAAGTGACATGCAGCAATGGTTGCGCGAAAAAGGAATCCCGTTTGACGATTCATGTGTGAAAGCGGAATTGTATGAAAAAATTAAACATCACAAACCTGCGAACATTAGTTACGTGACTGATGAGATGGCCCGTCAATGTGGTGTCACTGTGCTGCGGTTACCGCCCTACCACTGTGAACTGAACCCAATAGAGCTCATCTGGGCTCAAGTGAAGGGTTATATTGCGCGCCATAACACAACCTTCAATTTACCAGACGTTAAGGTTTTACTTGAGACTTCCATACAGCTAGTAACGCCCGAAGCTTGGCAGAATGCTATCCGCCATGTTGTGAAGGAAGAAACAAAAATGTGTCAGCTTGACCACCACATCGACACCATCATAGAGCCAGTTATAGTCAATTTCAACGAGGAAAGCGATAGCGACAGTTTATTACTGTCAGATGTAAGTGGAAGCAACGATGAATTAAGGCAATTCCCAAATTTTTGACTTACAATATGTTTCAAACCACTCTTTATTAAGCATGTGACAAATCTAGTTCACCCATGTTAAACATTCATACCCCGCCTATGAATTGCCGACTACTGGTAGTTAAGTGATGTTCACGTGAACATCGATGAGTCATTACAGTTTTAGATAGTTATAGTATAAGTGACATAAAACGCAACACCCAGAACTACTTCGTGAAGACTTTTGTTGTCATATCAGGATCCGAGCAATATGAACATGTTTTGCATCACGAGCTTCGTCCCAAGCCGTCGTAGAACCGTGCTGGAACGGTGACGCGCTTGCGCATTTAGGAAAAAGTGTTCCAACCTTGTCCGTCACAGTTCCAGAACTGTTCTGCATTGTGTTCCAGCACGTTTTGGGATCGATTTGGGACGGTTTTGTGATGGTGATATCGGTACCTGCACTGAAGCGAGAACTAAAGGAACTGACATGCGCAGAAGAGCTATCAACGAAAACAAACGGCAAATGGCGGTTAGGTTAGATGATTCCGACAGCTACCAGCAATGTTGCCACATCGACAAATACTCTGTGGTTTGTTGGAGTGAATGTACCCAAGTATTTGCGGCTTCATAAATAGTAAAAGTAATATACCGGCTTTATGAAGGGCGAAATTTAGCCAAAGGCGATTTGTATATTTAAAATTACACAAGAATTCAGAGAAATGTAATACACAGAATCTAAATTAGTATCCTCAAGGAAAAGATATCTTCTCTGAAATAGTGTTGAATGGATGAATGCTGACGGAATATGCTCAAGTTATATCTGCCTTAACTTTAGAAAGTGTAAGTTTTTCAAATGAATATGGTAGGGTGGACGTCGTTACTAATTCAGATATAAATGTATGATAGACATAGTAGAGTACAGTTTTCTTTCCACAGACAGCCAACCAGTTTTATTTCATCGTTGCGGATATATGATCATATTTTTTAGTCCATAAACAAATCTACATCAGTGATTTTGAACTTATTGCAAACGAATCTTTATCGCAGCCCAGGCAACTGTAATATAAGATATCAGAGTACTGTGCCACAGATATAAAACCAATGATTCACATGAAGCTCTTTTAACGTTAGCACTTGGTAAGTGTTATTCTCTCTTCATAGCTATGCCGAGAAATTGGTAGATCAGGCAACATTGGCTATCCTATCGATTTTGAGGCACAAAACGATTCCGAATCCGTTACAACACCTTTTACAGTCCAGAAACGATCCTAGAACCACGACAAGCCGCGCATGCGTGTAACAGGGTACCTCACGATAACCGAACGGTTTTGGTACGATACTAGTACTAAACGTTGGGACAAATCTATTGTCATATCATTTCCAACTGGTTTTACGAATATTTTAAAATACCTAGTTATCTGATGTCAAACTGACAAACTCAAATTAATAAATGCAACAGTCAGTAGATTTGGCCTCAACTGGTCCATCCAAGGAAAGACTGGTATAAATAAATTTTAGTTGTCAAACTGACACAATGATATAGACAGGATACAATTTCAACCGCTATGAGCGGCTGTCCATATTTTGACATTTTAGACGACACCGCTGTTTCCTCTGCTTTTGAAAGCGGACGCCGCGCTCTGCCCAACTGTTTTAGGATATTTGATGGTTCATCCATTCAGCGCATAGTAGGAAGCATGCGCATGTGTGTATGTCAAGTTTGGAAGTTGTACAGGTAGGATAAGTCAAGATTTTTTATCGTCAATCGTATTAAAATCATTTGAAGAAAAACATGAAAAATGAGAATACGAAGTTTGTTCAAAAATGTTTTTTTTAAGAATTATTTATTTATTCATGAATATCTATTGTATCCCCTTCAAAGTAATACACTTGTGATAACGTTTGTTCCAATCCTCGAAGCATTTTGAAAAACCATTGTTTGTTATCTTGTTCAATCGTGGAGTAGCGTCGTCCTTTTATGGGCCTCTTCAGTTTCGGGAACAAGAAAAAGTCACAGGGGGCCAGGTCTGGGGAATACGGTGGGTGAGGCATTATTGGAGTGTTGTTTATGGCGACAAATTCGCGCACAAGTAACGATGCATGAGCAGGGGCGTTATTATGGTGCAAAAGCCAATTTTTTTTTCCACAAATGGCGGATTGCTTTTCACAAATTGCGCATTACTTGAAGGTAATTTTCATAATTGGCCGTTCTACCCTGCGCCAAGAACTCATCAATGTTTCGGCTGTTGTTGACGTGCTTGGGCGACCGTTACGCTTTTCGTCGCTCACATCTTGTCGGCCCTCTGAGAACATTTTGTACCACCGATAAACGTTGATTTTGTCCAAAATACCTTCGCCGTATGCAACAGTCAACATTTGGAATATGTCCGCGCTCTTCAAGTTGTTTTTTACACAAAGTTTAATACAAATTCTTTGATCCGACTGAACATTCAAAATAATCGATATTGTCAACATTAGTGAGGGTCATGAGTACCAACATAACGCCACAAAAAGATCGAAGATCGAACATACGTAGCCCGCCAAAATTCAAAATTTCCGATACTTTTTGAACAAACCTCGTATTCTTGGTATCTGGGTTATAGTATCAAAAAATTAGTTAATAGCACAAACCAGGTGCTCCGATGTCATATATAAAAACCCACGCTGACACTTTACCGCTTTCGCTCACACAAGCATTATTATCTACCTTTCTTTTCCATAAGCTTTGTTCCAGCAAATCCTCAGACTAGTCCTGAACTGGCCAGATTATGCGCAGATCGAAATTACCGTTCCAATAGAAAACGGAACTGATTCCGTAACTGGCAGTTCTCTGTACCAACAAAACCGAAACATTCTAACGGTTATGAGTTGTTTTGAACAGTTCTGGTTCTGAAAGAAAACTGTATGTTCGAATTTGTTAGCACATGCGCGCTTACAGAATAAATGGCGTTCACAGCTGGGAAGGTGGGTTTTGTAGCTATCATTTTGTGCCAGAGAGAAAAATTTGTGCTATACCTCTAAAATATTTCACCAAGCTACTCATCGTTGTCAAATCTGCCACCTAGATTCAAAAAAGATTTACAGTACATTAAAATACAGTCAAATTCTCTCGAATTCCAGGTCTTACACAAGGAAACTTGATAATTTTAAAGCTTACTTCAATTAGGTTATGATTACAAGCCATGTAATTCTTTGTTTCAACAGAATAGTTTCGAAACTAGTTACCTCGGGCATGCGCTGAAAAATAATTCGCAGTTCGTTAGTTCTGAACCAGTTCGCAACTGCTTGTTGGAACAAACCTATTATTTACCTAGGGATAGAAATGCTACTTAATAGTGGTGATTTATCCGAAAGTAGTGAAAGAAATACCTATAATGATGTAGTATCGCTTGATCCGCATGTACATTCTTGGTTTGGTACCCAGGAAGCAATTCCCATACAAAATGGTTCCCAGCTTCAACAGCCACTTCTGGCCTACAGATATACTTGGACCTCTGTTTGTGTGGATGCAACTTGGCCCTTCGTCTGGTCTTGCGCACTGTGACCAAACTAGCCGCTACTGGATCATTCTCGTTGGCCAAAGATTCGTCATCGGACCATTGGAGGTAAAAGAAGGCGTTCTGGAAGGACAAAGCTCCAGCGGTGTGGAGGTTGCCCCTGCGATCCAGATGCCTGTAGAGAAATTTTGACAAATACACCAAAATCGTGCTGGTAGAGATCTTGAATATAGCCTGATCCTTGACGTTGGGAGTAGTTTTTGACGCTTTCAAATGGACCAAAAACTGAACTGGAAAAAACATTTTCACAGAAACGACGCAGTTGTGGATAAAGTTCAGTGACGTGTGTTGCCTATTAGCATTGATTAACGTATTCTACCTGAAGATATCCTACATAATATTATATTTCGTCTTAATAAGGCAATGAAAAAAGTGACGAAAATGTGGAGTGTCACATTACGCTGTGTTTCAATCTGGCCTGAAGAGATAGACGCGATTGATAATCTACTATAAAGAAATAAAAGTACGTAAATTTAACATGATACAGTTCACACCATTGAATACCAAAGTAAAATAGCATAAAATATTCTACTTCGCAGAGAAAGGTATTTAATTAACTATCTGATTGTCAAAGCTAAGATTAAAGCCAATGATGACTACATTAATAAATCCAACAACAGCCAACATGCTGCTTGGAATATCATAAAGAATGTTAAACCGAACACACACAACCAGGACTCCTCAACATCTCTCATAGCACATCAATTCAACGACTTTTTTACCCATATCCCACAAAAACTTTTAAATAAAATTACCCCATCCGATGTTCCTCCATCGCATTATATGAATCATCCTACTCATAGTTCACACTTTCGATTCAGGGAAGTTTCATATCATGATGTGAGAACTGCTATAAATAAACTAAAAAACTCAAAGAGTACTGACCCATATCGCTTTACTGTCAGGATTGTCAAAACCCTGCAAAATCTCATCATATATCCTCTAACCAAGTTATTCAATCAGTGTATAGAAAGTAATACTTTTCCGGATTTTTCCTAAAATTATTCCCATTTTCAAACAAGGGGATACCGAAGAGTTATGCAACTACAGGCCCATTTCCTTAATACCTATTTTTGCGAAAATTTTGGAATTATTGTTGAAAGATCAAATTAATGAATACTTTGAGGCTAATAATCTATTTTGCTCAACACAGTTTGGTTTTAGGAAAAATAGTTCCATCACATCAGCTATTAACAGTTTTATTCAGTTTGTGCACGAGACTTTTGAAAACAACCTATATGGCGCAGCATGTTTGTTGGACTTGTCCAAAGCTTTTGATTGTGTTCAACACGACATCCTGTTGGAAAAGCTCCCTTTTTATAACTTTCATGAAGCATCCACTGCAATGATTAAATCTTACTTGAGTAATCGACGCCAATTTGTATACTTTAAAGGTTCATCATCCTCACAGTTAGTCGCTGCTCACGGGGTACCGCAAGGCTCGGTATTGGGACCTATTTTATTTTTAATTTACGTCAATGATATGACTAACTATAACGTAAATAATAACTTAATCCTATTAGCTGATGAAACTACCTTGATGAATAGCAATGCCTCTTTAGACTCATTGATATTCGACTCTGAGGCTCATAAAAGAAAACTAGCAAACTGGTTAACCGCTAATAAGTTAACCATCAATGAAACTAAGTCTCATATGATTATTCTTAGCTTGAGGCAGCACGACACTAATACACTAAAGTCCGTGAAGTTACTAGGAGTCTACATTGATGAACACTTGTCGTGGGAAACTCACGTAATCCATGTTCTCGATGCACTAGCAAAATATATATATTTGATAAGGAACTTGAAACAAAATGTCTCTCAGTCAGTTCTTCTTCTAACATATTATTCCTACTTTCAATCAAGAATTTCATACGCATTGTTAAACTGGGGTCACTCGGCCCATTCGTCAAAAGTTTTTGGTTTACGACGTTGCTTGCGGTACATTGCTGGCCTCAAATACCCGGAACCTTGCAAGGAAGCTTTTATGGAATTGAAAATCATGACAGTACCTTCTCTTTACATCTTCACATGTCTGATGTATATAAAGACTAACCTGAGCCAATATACTACCCACAGTGATGTCCACAGTTATAGAACCAGAAATATGGATAAAAGCTTAGTACCTCATAGCCGTCTCCAAACCATCAGGAACGGCACAAACTATTATGGGATAGTTTTTTATAACCTGTTGCCAGACCGTATAAAGAAATTGGATGCGAAAGTTTTTAAAAATAAAATTAATGCTTATCTGACTACTAAAGCATTTTACTCGATCAACGAGTATTTGAGCAATAATTTTTCAGACTTGTCGGATTGTTAGCAAATATAACAGTGTTCCTACACTTGGGATCCTCTAGGTTCCTTGAACTTTCTACTAAGTCATCTGGTAAATTTTTATATCAACATTTCGTATGTCTTCCATTTTAACGTATATATGTGTATATGTGTATATATGTATATATGTGTGTGTGTGTAGAAGTAAACATACGTATTGTGGTTAAATGAATATGCGTGTATCTATGTACGAATATATGTCCTCCTATTTTTACATCTTATATGGACTTGCTGTATCTGCTTTTATCGAATCATAATGTCATAAGTTGATGTTCTTCTGTCTAATTTGAACATCAGTCTTTTGTCAGACTGCTTTTTGTATTATTTTTTTTCTTTTGACTTGTGTAAACACGCTGGTGTACTTAACACAAATAAAGAATTGAATTGAATTGAATTGAATATCTGTAGAGATGCTTAAAGTTAAATTTTAGCCATCCGTTTGCTTCAAGGTCATCTTTTCTTTCATCTACCGATAATATTGGCAGTAGTGTGAAAAGCTTCTGGAGGCGGAGGAACTATTATCCATATCTGTTGTTATACAAAGATAATCAATGCGTACTGCTATTACAAACAATTCTATCTCGTCTTACTTTCTATATTCATTTTTTCCTCTCTTTACTTACTCAACAAGTTGTGGTAAGGTGTAGTTGTGTCTCGGTACGATGTATTCATCTAGATCTACGAGTGCCACATGGGAAAATTTATACATGGATCTGTACATGCAGTCGTTCAGTGCTGCGAACAAACCTTCGGTCCTGATTTCCTTTTGGCTCACCATATTTAGTTGCCATGGTAACAATTTCACCATACCTACAAACAAAGCTGAAGATTATTTAAAAATTCCACAAGCATAAAATATACAGTTGGAAAGCTCTCAAAATTTATTCAAAATTGTAATATATTGTAACAAGAATGAACAGTAGTGTTGGCGACTTCTATTGAGGACCGTGCCAGTGACTCGCCTTCTAGATCGACGCGAAGTGACCTTGACGATTCTGGAATGCCGCTATGTGGCTCACCGAAATCTTCTCGAATCAACGATGCGGTCTATATATCTCGACGGCCGGGAGAGAGAAACATAGCAGAGTACAGCAGAGTGGAGTATAGTTCAGTCAATGGCGCGACATAAAAATCAGTCAGACATAACTATAGGTGTACATAGATGTTCTATCCAGTCAAGTTAAATAAATTAGTGCATTTCTTTTTGTGGAATCCGGTGTTTTAATCCACACCCAAAAGAACACAGAAGAACGCTACAATATGCTGATTTGCTCAGAAAGTGCTACTTACCTTTAGATTCGTAATCTCTGAGAATGCATGATACTTGCGGGCCTATAGTATGGTTGTAAAATGTAAAATGTTCTATGCCTAAAAGCCGATTTAGTTCTAAAAACTCCAGCATTTGAATCTCCTGAAAAAAATAACAATATGAACAATGATCATTTATTTTGTATAAACCATGCATTTCTTAGAATTTAGACGGCATTACACATACCAACCTCGGAATATGTATCAATGTACAACAAATGAAGAATTAATTTAAAATTTTAAAGTAGCTTTTGTTTTTGTTTACTTATCATTTAGTGGCTTTATTTTCTTGATAACAAAAAATACGCAGTACGAAATATGCATGAGATATAAATATCGGTTAATCATTTTAATTTATAGTCCATATTGCTACAGAATGAAACCTTCAACCTTATATTATACTTAAGCGCTATAAAATTACGAGTATTGGTTAATAAAAAATGAAAAAGTACCAGGTTTTAAAATGTCGAATCGCAACGCTATTTTCGTGACGTCACCATTCGTGACTTGTTTCAAATCAACCCTTGGTTGATTTAAGATGGCAAGCTTTCATCAGAAGTTGGAAGCTTTGGGCTTACAGAATACAAATCTCTATTATTGATCGTCAAATGTCAGCTTGAAAGAACTCATTTATCGGGTTTTAACAACCATTTTGTGTGCTTGACAGACTTAATTGATTACATAAAAAATATAATATCCTTATACACTATAAGTTGGTTTCGATGCATGCTCATATTAAAAATCGGTGAACAGACACTAGACTAAGTCAGTTTCCATAGCCGGATGTCATTGCATATTCCCTCGAAGATAAGACCTAAAGATCTGTTTATAGTATATTTCCTGGAAACCCCATATCCTTACCCTATTGTAATCAAAATGAAGCGGTTTGACACAAACACCAAATTTGTAACCATGTGGCGGAGCACGGGTCTCGTTGTTACCATTATGTACCACCAACAAGTTTCCTGGTAGGTCCCTGGGCCGAGCGACAATGCTGACAGTACCAGGTATGGCGGTACGATTTGCTGGTAGAGGACATGTCGCGAAGCAAGCACTGTATTTCAAGTTCCAATTTTCGCGAATTGCCTGCAAAACAAAATCATTGGTCATAGCCATGGGGTGTAACGTCTTATAGGCGTACTGGCAACGCCAATGTCATCGCATTACCGGCATCAAGTCACGGGATGTTTGCTGGAATTCCCTATCTTTATCTAAATGCAAAAATATCAAATATGACCTTTGTTTTGATTCAAGATTCTCAATGCTGATGCTTAAGGAGATATTTCGTTAACAATGACTATAAAATACAGGGTGTCCGCAAAGTTGGGGTTTTCCTTTACACGACGTGTAGATCTTAAAAACATAAGCAATTTTTCTTAGTACCATATACACCAATGTCTTAAGGGAACCGAGATAAAGGGCTCGGCAACATCAAAAATATCTGAATACCGTCCTGTAGCCGCGACATCCCCGAGTGGTACTAGGACACTAGCTCAACCCGACGACAGAACTGGGTCGGGGTCAGTGTGTCAGGTCAGTATGCAACCTTCAACCGACGGTTACGGTCACGCGTGTAGAGGTAATCGCGTAGACGAGAATCCCTCAACAAGCACTAGAGACGTGGCTAGAGAAGTGCAAGTATCAAAAACTAAAGTGTGGCAAACGCTGCGTGAAGAGGGGCTGTATCCGTTTCACGTCCAACGTGTACAAGCCCTTCAACCTGATGATTTTCCAGCAAGAGTGCGGTTTTGTGAGTGGTTGTTGCATCAACATGACAATAATCCGGACTTTTTGAAGTGCATATTGCTGACAGACGAATCTACGTTTACGCGTAATGGGGTGAATAACTTTCGCAACACTAATGTTTGGTCAGTAGAAAATCCGCACGCTGTCCGTCGGGCACATTTTCAACAAACATTTTCGGTGAATGTTTGGGCTGGCATGGTGAACGGTATGCTCATTGGACCATTTATTCTCCCAAATCGATTGGACGGGATGCAATACCTAGACTTTTTACGCGACATTTTGCCTTCCTTGTTTGCCTACGTCTGCTCGGTAGCGCATCAGCTGATTTCATTTTCTGTTGGAGCGGTATGATTTCGGGCAGAGACGTACTTGCCCCTTCTCGTCAACTGGAGAGTGAGTACTTTTTCCTTTATTTTTTTTTTACTTGGTCGCCCTCGTTTCACTACACATTACCTTTGTTATTTCAAGGGTAGTTGTTTCTGAAAAGGAAAACCCCAACTTTGCGGACACCCTGTATAAAGCAACACTATCAGTAGCTGTGATGAAATATTTATCTCTGGAATCAGCCTCTTTATAATTTTTGTAGTAGGCAATGTTATATGAAGTTTGAAGGATTTTTTTGTATTGGCATCAATATTTAAATAACCCATGGTGATGTGGACAGATTAGAGGCCGTAAGTTTTATAAAGCAAAATTCTGCCCATCTAGGCCAACAAGTTTAGGGTATAAAACTGTGCAGACTAATTAAAATGGCTAGTTTATTTACAAAGACTGTATAAGTTAATGTTTCCTGTATTATTTCAAAATTATCAAAAAACAATTCAAGGAAGCAACACAACATAAATTTGTAATAAATCTATATTTTCAATAAAATATGTTTGCAGCATGTGATTATTTATTGAAAATGAATTTATTTTATCATTCTGAAACTTGTTTCCAGCAAAACTACTGACAGAGATATTAATTACCATTATTGAAGGTATTTTATGAATATACGTTCATTTCAATATCGGAAGTATCATTTTCAGCATATTTAAAATTATGATCAAATGAAATCTCCGGCACATTCCTGGCATTCCTTATTGCAGGCACATTCTCGGCGTTCCTTCGATAGTTCCTCCAGACCTCCAGGCAAGTAGGCGGCGTCACCATCTGACAAACGTCAACGGTGTTGCCATCGTTAGTACGTCATAGATTATACCAGTGTTTCTCAAAGTTAGTGACTTGGTTGTTGGGGTTATACAGAGGAGCGGCAATGAGCCTACATTAAATTAGAAGATCGTTGTATTGATTTAGGGGGCTATAATTTGTCATATAACACTCTAGGTATTCTTAAATTAAAGCAATTTAGGGGGGCCCTAGAAAATAATTGATTCTCAAAGTGGGCAGTAGATGAAATATTTTTTGAGAAACTCTGGGTTATACAGGTGTGACCGCTACTGTCGGTCCCTTCGATTTGTGTGTCCTTAACTGTTTTGCGTCTTCCCTACCTGATTCCATGAGCGTCCGGGGAAATTTTTCTTAAGGATGGCTAAGCTTCACTAGTCTGACGTAACCAATGTCATGCGTCAGACTACAGAATCATTTATTTTTTTGCCCACATGCATTTAGGTTAGATAATTTTTGGCGAGCTTTTTATATTGTATATAAAAAAACAAAAATATCAATCTTACAAAAGGAAAAAATAATTAATAAACTAAAAATTAAAGAAAAAAAGAACCTGTTAAGAAAAGCAGAGCAATATGATTGTCTTCGCATACTCCTGTGTATGTAATAGAATATATAATAGAAATAAAACAGTGGTGATATTAAGTAATAGATGCCTTATTTTCCATTAGAGCACGATATTGATTAGGATCTGTCCAACGCCTATAATAGAACAAAAAGAACTTGAAGTACCTTGAAATGACCTTCAGATGAACTCATAGTGACTAACTAACCTCAGATTCTTAGTTACCAAAGAGGCTTAAATGCGGTTGGGCTCAATGGCTCGGCTTCTATTAAATCTGCTGAAAATGGTATACATTTCATAGAAATTGTATTTTTTACGAGCTTTCCGGTGATGACTGTGGGCCGTTAGAATTTTTATCGGTATACCTCGCATTGTTTTTTGTACGTGGTATAAACCCTATGTGCGTCGCTGTAAAAGAAGCAGGAAATGAAAATTACTCACCCATACTTTGGCAGGAACGGTAACTGAAATATGTGTCGTAGCATTTCCATCCCCTAATTTGTACCACAGCCTACACCACACTCGTTCTGGTCCCCTAGTCTTCGTCGCACCAATCACACGAATTATTCGCTGTCCTTTTCTTCTTTGGTCGAAAAATGCCGAAAATACGAAGAATTTGTACCTAAAACGATTTAAGTATGGTGAACATTCATGCTAATAGCGAGATGTCTTTTTGAAAGTTAGAGACGAAGACTAGAGATAGGAGGTTAATCCTGTCGCCAGGATTCAGGATTCGAATTATTTGTTTGCATAATTTATAAAAATATTTTTGTCGAAAATGCAGGGATGGTGTGACCCTCGAAGATCTAGCCGGCGTAGAACAAGGCGCAGAGCGTTTGTGCATTGAAAAACGTCAACCTAACTTGTCGCCATCTTTATGTTCATTCCACTATCGTTTTGCCATGCTTTTTAGGTTTATTCCTACCTAGTCCATTCATATTATCCAACATTTCTGCTTGCAACTCGTCTGAACTGTCAAAATTCGAGTTGTTTACAGTCATGATCACAACAGCAGAGAGAGAGAGAGATACATCATACTCGTACGTGCAGAACCTGATTTTAATTTTTTGCGCAGTGTACGCACGAGAAAGAAGCCCTATGCGCAGCACTTGAAATTCATTTGCTGCGCAGTGTACCAACCCACTTCATTGTCGATCGATTATTGGCTTCACGCCCACTCCATGAGTTTAACCACCTATCTCTAGTCTTCATGATGGGTCTCAAGATTATTCCACTGTTATTCACTGACTCTGAGGAGAAATGATTGGTAATTTGAAAAAGCCACAAATCATAGAGATATTGTTACTTCCACAAGCCGGATTTGCGTTTTACTTTATACCTACTTTGTACCATTCACATTCTGCCAAGATCCTTCTGTGAGCGTTGAGTTATCTGGATATGGAGGAAGTTGAGTCTCGATGAGATCCTGAGAACAGAAAAGCTTTACTGGTTCATAAAGAATACGAAATAAAAACAATCAGGGCATCTGGTAAGACTCCACATCTCCAAAATGAGACTTGCAGTTACAATATTCATAACTTCAAGTATTCCGAAGTGTCCAGATAATTTTGTCTCTTGTCAAATAGGTTACAGCATATTCTACGAAGTCCGTACAAAAAATTAGTAGGCGGCCTTTGAAAATACTTATCAGATAATCAAATATCCTAAATATTTTCTGCGCAAAGTAGACAAAATGCTGCAGGTACCCCAATTTCGGAAATTCCCATTTTTTATGCTTCACGCTTTAACTGCCATAACTGCCATTGTTAATCTTCTTCCTTCCAAATAAAATGAGCATTTATGTGGCAATTATCCTTCAAACATGAATAAGCTCTAGGTCTAATTATTCCAAGGGATGGCAGCTTTAACATTATTTTGGGTGTTAAAAGCGTTACGGAAACAGTGCAGCATTACCTAATCCTGTGAGCCCAATTACCAGCCTTATGTAATTTAAATAGAGATGTTTGAGTTTTGTTCTGTTTATATCCTAGTGGCCATTCTTTTTTTTTCATAAAATATGTTGCGGCGCAGAAAACATTTTCTCTGAGAAAGACGTTCCATCGTTTCAGTGTCCAAAGAACGAATTTCAAACTATAAGAGTTTGTGTCAAAAAAATCCATCGGTTTAGTTTCCACTATATTTAATATGATCGACAAAATTAAAAACTCGAGTGTAACTTGTTATGTCGATGTCATTCTGTTTCCAAAAGGTTGTCAAAGAATCTGTTGCGAAGAGTTTCTCATTTATTAAAACTAATGCTGTAGCGGCTGATGGAATCTCATTCATTATGATAAAATACATTTTCATTTTGCTCTTAGACCATATTATATTTATAATCAATCACGCAATATCAATATCCTATTTCCCTGATGCTTGGAAGCAGGCTGTCGTCATACCTATTCCTAAAGTAGCGATTCCCACGTCTGTAACGCAACTTAGACCAGTCAGCTTACTTCCCGCATTTTCGAAGCTTTTGGAACGGGTAATGAAGATACAAATATCTCAGTATATTTTCAGTAATGAAATAGTTCCATCAATGTAGTCTTTATTCAGGGAAGACCATAGTACAACAACTGCTCTAGCCGATGTCACTGATGATATTATAAGAGGCCTTGATCAAGGAAATATCGCTTGTTTAGTTCTGTTGGATTACACAAAAGCTTTCGATATCATAGATCCTGAAATTCTGCTACTTAAGCTGTCTTACGATGGTTTTACTGACGCTGCAGTCAATTTGATACGCTGCTGTTTGTCGAATAGAAATCAAGAGGTCCTAACAGCTTCGAAAATGTCACAGTCAACTGCTACAAAGTTTGGTGTTCCTCAAGGTTCCATATTGGGACCTTTGCCTTTCTCTCTAGATATATCGGATTTTCATCAATATGCCGATGATACTCAAATTTATTTTAGTTTTCAACACAAAGATTTTAAAATAGCAGAAGCATTGCTCAACGAAGACTTAACAAGGCTAGTAGACGTCTTGTGCTCGCATAACCTAAAAATTAATCCATCTAAATCTTTAGTTATGGTTTTCGTCTCAAAAAACAAAAGAACATTGATCGAAACGGAAATTAACCTTAAAATCTATGATTGCCGGCTTCCTATAATGAATGAGTGTAAAAACCTGCGACTCTGGATTGCGACAGAACTAAAATACAAAAAACACGTAAATTCGTTATGTAGTGCATCATACTGCATTTTGAAACAGTTTTATCCACATAGGCAAATAATATCTACTTCAGTAAAGCTGAAACTGTGTGAAACATTAATTATATCAAAGATCAGTTATTGTGGCAGTATATATGGCCCTGCGCTATCATATAGTAAACAAAGCAAATTACAGCGTATTTAGAATTCGTGCGTCAGGTTTTCTTGCGGAATACGAAAGTTTAATCATATTTCTTATAAATTTAGGGAACTTGGTATTTTGCACATTAAAGGCACTTATTGACATTCACACATAAGGTCTTAGCTACCAAACAACAATATTTGCATAATAAGTCTACACGATATAGTGACATAAATCAAGACAAGGAATAGAAATATGTTAGTGATACCCTTACATTCTAAGGCTGTCTACAAAAAATCATTCAGCTACAACGCCATTAAATTATATAATGATCTGCCTGTTACATTCCAAAACTATACATTGTTTAATTTCAAAAAGAGGCTTAAACTAAAACTACAAGTCGAGGTCTGATGATGAATACAAAATGCTAGAAATATGGACTATTCTTGTAATTGTTCTGTTTTTTTTTTCGTGTTGTTAATTATTTAGTAATTATTGAGAATTATGGATACATTTTTATTGGTGGAATGTTTTATTATATATTTTTTTTTTGTTCTTTCATAGGTTAAGTTGAAAAACGCTAATCTTAGCGACACTTCGCCTTTTTTGTCCTTTTACTTAGGTACGAAATAGCCCATTTATTATTATTATTCTCAATTATTGTCAAGCTTTTCCCTTTGATGATCTTGAAATGGCTAAGGCTAAATTAGTATTGACCTCGAAAGTATTAATAACTATTCTGCTATTGGTAACATGAAACTCAATCCTCAAGAATCAAATGTTGTACTTTTTTCCAAGAAAGGAAAACGGAGATATCTAAAAGCAAGGCTGGACCTGGACACAGACAATACAGATTCAAAATTTAATGTATGCAAAATTTGGGTCTGCTTATAGACGAAGACGTATGTACGTTTTCACACGCATGTTAACAGCGTCATCAAAACATGGTATTTTAGGCAGAAGCTGTTATATATCAACATATACTTATTTGGTTAAAAAAAGCGATTATGTGAATCAATAATTATTTCTATAATTCCATATAGAATCATAACGTATAATCCTTGCTTAGATCAAATGTTTGCCGACAGTCAAAAAAAAATTCAAAATTTTTGTTTCCGCCCAACAAATAATCTTAGGAAGTATGATCTTGTAACTGGCCCAATCAAACATTTAGGATGGCCCAAAATTAATAACCTATTCAAATATTTATTTTTGTCATTTATAAAATTTATTATAACCACCTACGTTTATGGAATAAGCTAACATTTAGTACAAGCTTTTATGATTTAAATTTAAGGTATGCGAGTACATTACCTACCTGCGGCACGGACAAATTATTTACACTATTCCCCTTTACATGTGATGTGTAGGAATTACAATTCTGCAAGTAACAGGATTGATATATTTAACTGCAGAATTGCAGACATAAAAAATACCATTAAGTAACCAGCATGTATCTTTTACACTTTGTAGTCTATTACTTATTATTGTCTTTTATATCTGTGTTAAGTTCTGTGTTTCCTCACCCTGTAATTGGTATTTACTGTAGGGTTTGTAATGAATAAAATAAAATAAAATAAAATACAAATTATCCATACCAAGACATTGCACAGCATATAAAGCAGTATAGTTTCAACAGGTAGCAAGAAAACATTTTTGGTAGCATTTAATCTTTGTTGAATATATTTTATGTACACATTAACATTGAAATATTAGAAACATTTAATACTTTATCACGTATACAGTAACAAACATTTTTATAGTTTATAATACTTAATTTAGACTTTTTCTTATATTTCCAAATGTTGGGTGAGCATGTTGGCCATCATCGCATCATACTTTATGTTATGTTGTGATATTAATGATGCAATCAAAACATATATCCCGAATACCTGTGCAAAAATACTTACCTTCGAGTTAAGAGGTAGAGTATCGAGTAAAAGAGGTAAAGCTGGGGCGGCTCGAGCAGCCGCTACCGCAGGGGGCACCCCGCCGCCACCGCCCAGTAAAAGTGCGCCTAGGGTCTCGTCGTTCATCATGGCTCCTGCGCCTAGGCCCATACGGATTGATATGTAGTCTTCGTTCTGGAATCAATATAAAAGTTATCACCAACGCGAAGTTGTGATGATCCCGAAAAAGGTGGCATCAATTTTTCCATATTAATATCGCCCCATAATTGTATTGTCTTCTCCGTCTAAATTGACCGAAAGGTTATTTGTTTGTTTGTTTCAGATTTATTTAGCATTAATGCTACAATATCCATAATATCCATATTACACAGAATATCACAAAATATATTATGTCTTCAAGACTACATATTTTTATACAAAATTTCACTACTATGAATTCTGGTTTTCCATGAGATATTTTTTCATATATCCCTTTGAACAAACTGACACACATCTTGATATCATTACTTAATTCATTAAATTCGTACAATCTCTTTTGAAATACTGACTTGCTCGTTATATTGCTACTGCAGTTTTGTAAACGAAAGTCTATACTTCCTCTAGTAGAATAATTGTGGCACTCATTGTTCAATACAATAAAATTTTCTAAGTGATTTGGTAGATGATTTTTTAACTTGAATATGAAAATATATACATTCACCAACTTTTATTAAAATAAAACCATTTAAACTGGGTGTTCGGATTTATATGTCACTTAGTATAAAAACCAAGTAGGCTATGAAATTTTTGATATTTAACCATTGTAGTTCTTTCAGCATAAGATTTATTCTAGTATATTTATTTTTATTTAAGATGATTCTAATAGCTTTATTTTGTAATATTTGCAATTTTGAAAATATAATATATGATAGTGTTGCACACAATTTTTTTAGAATAAACGCTATAAAAGTAATTTATTTTCTTGGATATCCTTGAAATAATATATTCATAGTGCCCTTCAAATTTTAAGTTACTATCTACGTATATGCCCAAATATTTAAATGACTCGATTGACACAATTATTTCATGATTAATTGTAAGATTTATCGTGTTTTGATCTAAAGATTTTCCTATCAGCATATATTTTGTTTTGTTTGTGTTTAGTTTAAGTTTATTTACATTTAACCAATTTATTACGTTTTTCATATCATTGTTTAACAGCTCTATTGGAGTTTTAATGTCTTTACTTGATATATATATATTAATATATCATCAGCAAATAGTTGAATTTTGCAGGGTTGTAAAATATCAGGAACATCGTTAATATACAATATTTTTCAGTATCTTCCATACTCATCTAGAGAATTACTTAGATCTGAGAGTAATTCCCAATCTTGCTCATAGATATCTGCATCACAGAAGTCCGTGTTTCTCATTTATGTCAGTTTGTCAGTCTGTGTCTGTTGTATATCAATACGTCATCAGAGTCAACATACATGACGAAATTTTCAGAGAACCGTCATAGACGGAATAACACAAATTTAAGATTAGACGAAATGGGTGGTAGATTTGAAGATCATAAAATTCAGACGAATATATGTGTAGATATAAAAACAGTCAAGTCGTCATTTGAAAAAGCAATATCAAAAGTGGTGTGCCAGTGGCGGCGCCACCGCAGACCAGTTAGAGCTTGCTATTTCGAATTATGAGCACATAATTCATCGGACTTTTATCGTTTAATTTTCCGCTGTTACCGGAATCTTAATGATAGAACGTCTTTGACTAATATTAAAAAGTTACATTTACAACACCCTACCACCTAGAATCGCCAACCCGTGTTTTTACCCCCAGCTCCATCACCACTAGACTGATTTTCAAAAACTACAAAGCTTTTTCATCCGTTGCATAGTGGTAATCTTGTGTGAAAATTTTATCAAAATTTGAGCGGTACTTCCCAAGTTATAGGCGGTTATAAAATTAACGGACAGACAGACCGATGGAAATGAGTGATATAGTTTTTCCTGATGTACGTCAAATAGCATCTAAAGAACATCTCCACTTTAAAATTTTTCGCGATTACATACCAATTGTGGCCTAGGAAGTAAAAAATGGTGGGCTCGGCCTGTTAAAATGAAACACCATGCACTGTTCGAATATCATCTATTCGACTAAATCACACAACAAACATTAGTAATGCCACAAGAGATGCGTGAAGTGAAAAGGTCCACATCCTCCGTCAGGCCCCAGTTTCCAGCCGCAGTACAGGACAAAAGGAATGTAGCAAATGTGGAAGATCCTACGGGTTACGTCAACGACTATTTCCAGACGTTCTTTGGACGCAGGCGAAAATTCTACCATCGTGTCAAAGATTTCGCTTGAATTCACTCTCAGAAATATACTTTGGGAATATTCTAATCAGATTCTAATTCTGGTCGTCACTGCTGTAATGTCACCTCAAATTTGACGTATGTATGTGACAGTTCCTGAATAGGGTAAGAAGGTTAGATTACGGTGCTTGTTACACAGGGTGTTCAAATTATAGTTATAAGACGGGCACGTGGATTTGCTTAGAAATAAAAGACAACTATAACACTTTTTTATGAAGAAATTATTTATTTGTTGGGTGGTTAAAGCCGATTCGAGCGGTTTTTTGTAACTAAACCTAATTGAGATCATTCCGGAATAGACACATGTTGCGGGACCTGATACTTTCCAATGACAGGAGCAGCGAGAACATAGAAAAAGGAATTTAAGATTTCGCAAAGGGTCATGTCTCAATAGGTTCTCTCCAGAAAACAAAATTGAGCCCGATATGAATCAAACGACCCAAAAAGCGTATCAGCGTTAACGCTCCCGACTGACCCATTTTGTGTCTTTTTGCGGTTCAAATAACCCTTATTCCACGTATTTTGGGCTGCCCATATCGAATCCGAGGTCGTGTTATATGTATGTGACCCCGTTTATGATGTAGATCTAATTACTTAGCGAAAAATAGCAAAACTAGGCGTTTTTTCCGACTTTAAGGTGCTAAAAATCCATTTTTACTATCGATGGCTACATGAGAGCGGAGCTTTGCACAATGAGGTAATTTGTGGCGCTGAATATGAATATCACAGTGAACAATTTCTTAAGTGTTATCAGACGGAATTTAGGGTGAAAAGTTGACGAGAAACTATTTTTCCGGGCTAGCCGTAAATTCTAGCGATGTCTCGACATCGAATTTGTAATCTACGCACCCTATTTACCCAGAAAACAAGTTATCATCTCGATCATAGACGTGCAAGGGTTTTTAGAAATTTTTTATTAGTCGTTTTTTGACAAAGTTGAATTCTTGCCAGTATCTTGAAAACGAGGCATTTTCGGACGGAATGGGCCATGGATTCGGTTTCAGCGACCCAAAAAGCGTATTATAAGATATGTTGCGTTCACGTTCCCGACTGACCCATTTTGTGACTTTTTGGTAAGAATACCCCTACATGGTAATTATATGTTAAAATGCTTTAAATCCGGTTAAAATGACCCTTATTCCACGTATTTTGGGCTGCCCATATCGAATCCGAGGTCTTTTTATATGTATGTGACCCCGTTTATGATGTAGATCTAATTACTTAGCGAAAATTTACAAAAATAGGCGTTTTTTGCGACTTTAAGGTTTTAAAAATCCATTTTTACTATCTTTGGCTACATGAGAGCGGAGCTTTGCACAATGAGGTACTTTGGGGCGCCGAATATGAATATCACAGTGAAAAATATCTTAAGTGTTATCAGACGGAATTTAGGGTGAAAAGTTGACGAGAAACTATTTTTCCGGGTTAGCCGTCAATTCTAGCGATGTATCGACATCGAATTTGGAATCTACGCACCCGATTTACCCAGAAAACAAACTTCCATCTCGATCATAGACGCGCAAGAGTATTTAGAAATTTTTTATTAGTCGTTTTTTGACAAAGTTGAATTCTTGCCAGTGTCTTGAAAACGACGCATTTTCGGATGGAATGGGCCATGGATTCGGTTTCAGCGACCCAAAAACCATATTATAAGACATGTTGCGTCCACGTTCCCGCCTGACCCATTTTGTGCCTTTTTGGTAACAATACCCCTATACATGGTAAGTATATGTTAAAATGCTTTAAATGCGGTTCAAATGACCTTTATTCCACATATTTCGGGTTGCCGATATCGAATCCGAAGTCGTTTTACATGTATCTGAACACGTTTATCATGTAGATCTAATTATTTAGCGAAAAATTGCAAAACTATGCGTTTTTTCCGACTTTAAGGTGCTAAAAATCCATTTTTACTGTAGATGGCTACATGAGAGCGGAGCTTTGCACAATGAGGTACTTTGGGGCGCTGAATATCAGTATCACAGTGAAAAATATCTTAAGTGTTATCAGACGGAATTTAGGGTGAAAAGTTGACGAGAAACTATTTTTTCGGGTTAGCCGTAAATTCTAGCGATGTATCGAATTTGGAATATACGCACCCGATTTACCCAGAAAACAAACTTCCATCTCGATCATAGACGCGCAAGAGTATTTAGACATTTTTTATTAGTCGTTTTTTGACAAAGTTGAATTCTTGCCAGTATCTTGAAAACGAGGCATTTTCGGACGGAATGGGCCATGGATTCGGTTTCAGCGAGCCAAAAAGCGTATTATAAGATATGTTGCGTTCACGTTCCCGACTGACCCATTTTGTGACTTTTTGGTAAGAATACCCCTATACATGGTAATTATATGTTAAAATGCTTTAAATGCGGGTCGATAACTACATCATTTTAAATACATGCCACTTGACCAGACGTTTCCTCTACGCTGAGTGAGTTTCTTCCAATGCAGTAGTTACAACCGAATGTGGTTTGGACGATGTGAAATCCTTCAGCCATACCATCGCTCATGAACCGTGGAAAAACGGAAATAATAATAATATTAATAATGATAATAAATGGCCTTTATTTTACCTGGCGGGTTACATCAGCAAAAGCTGTTTCACCAGTGCCAAAAAATACAAGTACATGCAAATACAACAAAAATACAGAGAGAAGATGATTTTAAGAAAAATAAAAAGTAGAAAAAAGTTTAACAGCATCTTACTATATGTATGGTTTGATAGCAAAAAAAAACATGCATCAGCAGAGTACTTAACAAGATCAAAAACCATGCTTATAAAAAATAGTACAAAATAATACCTGTCGGAAGATAAAGAAATTGGAAGCAACCGCACTCGTATACAAAAGAAAAACAAATGAAAAAGGAAAGTAAGGTAAGTAAGGAAATATGCACAAATACAGAAATGTAAAAATAAAATTACATAAAAAATACGTGTCACATGTTATCGAAGACAAAAAGCTTATTTTTGAAAAAGTTTTATCTACTAGAATGATTCGATACCTCACAAAATTCAAAATTTTAAGTAAAAATCAATATGGATTTACAGAAGGGAAGGCTACATCGGACGCAATAACTAAAATTGTAAATCAAATACATCAAAATATTGATAACAGAATCCCTTCAATCTGCGTTTTTGTTGATTTAAAGAAAGCTTTCGACACAGTTAATCACAAATTATTATTAGAAGCATTGGAGAGAATTGGTTTCAGAGGAAACGCGTACTCACTGATCGAAAATTATTTGTCAAATCGCCCACAATCTATGCAGATATCAGGATCATTTAGTAAAGAAATGTATATTAAGTGTGGTGTCCCACAAGGAACTGTCTTAGGTCCGCTGTTATTCAATATATATTTAAATGATATTTTCCAAATTAATTGTGTTGGCAAAATAACTAGTTTTGCAGATGATACTGCAATATTATATGAAGGCACTGACTGGTCTGACCTGAAAAATGTAATTGAAAATGATTTTATCAAAATTATTCGGTGGTTTAACAGTAGAAAATTAAGCATTAACTACTCTAAAACACATTTTTTTACCATTTGGATCTTATGCTAGACATCTGCCAAATTACACAAATTTCTCCTTCAACATTAATGATCAAAAAATGCAAATTAATAGAGTGCCCAACATAAAATACCTTGGAGTGGTCTTGGATCCCCACTTACGATGGGACATCCATGTCATTTATATTTTAAAGAAAGTTAGATTTGTATCCTACAAAATTAAATACCTTGGGAATATATTGACAGAAAAGTATCTTCGAACATTATACCATGCACTGATTGAGCCTCATCTCACATATGGTATATTAGCATGGGGAGCTGCATATTCCTCACATATCTATAATTTACATGTTTTTCAAAAAAGTATTCTAAAAATGATATTTAAAAAACCGAAACTTTATCCCACTGAAAAATTATACGCAGATGTTCGAATATATGATATGACAGCTTTATTTCTTACACAGTATCACTCACTACCATAAATTTGTAAACACCGACCAAAAAATTAAACATAATCATTATACCAGGTACAAAATTCGTGGCACAGTAGTTCCTCAACCGCATAAATCTTTAATGCAGCGATCATATCTCTATTTAGCGCCTAAATTTTATGAAATTATACCTAAAGACTTAAAAGATTTACGTTTCGGAAATTGTTTCAAAAGAAATTTAAAAAAGTGGCTACATTCTATATCTAGGACTGAAATTCATAAACTCATAAATACGAACATCAACTAAATACATAATCTACTGTAGCTAATTTTTGTCCTTTTTTGTCATTTGCATTCTACAGTTTCAACTTAAATTATTGGTCCATGTACAGGCGATGCCTTCTATTGGGCTTGTTTTGATTTTATATTTATTTACTAATATTGTTTGTTATCTTTGTACATTGAGTGAATAAATATTATTATTATTATTATTATTATTATTATTATTATAATACCTCATCGTACTCCTGCCCCTTCCTGTACCCAGCCTGATACCCCGCGTGCCTGACAAGCACTCCACTGGTACTCCCCACATTCCTCTCGTCGATGAAGAACACCTCAGTGAACACTATGATGCCGAACACTGCGAAGAACATCACAACTAAGAAAAAGCTGAGGTTGGCTCGTTGCCGGCTCCGGAACGTGGTGTACTTCTTTTTGGACCCTCCGACGTTGAGGATGAGGATGCTGCCCCCGCCCGCGCCGCCACTGCTTGAGCCCATTGTGGTTTGATGGCCCGACGGGGCTGAAAAAAGGGTAAGATAATGTAAAATGTTTCCAGAGTGTGGATTAATCGTTATATCTTTCGAGAAAACGCATCAGGGAGAAAAAATGTTTCGGAAACCGGCAGTTTTAATTTACAAAAATGGCATGTGAAGCTTTTTAATACAATAATAATGATAACAATTATTATCATTGGTATTTTACAGGGTGGTCAATATATAACTTACTGATTTAAATTGCGCGCCATTTTTGATACACGCATTCCAGTAGATGTCGCCGTAGTAGTTGTTTAAAGCACATGTGTCCAATTCATCATGGAGCGCTACACGATCCCACAACGCGTCCGTATTGTTAAAACGTTTTACTTAAATAATGAGTCGACTGTTGCAGGTTCGGAAGTTACGACAACTTTTCGTCGGTCGTGTTCGAACTGTTCGTACTCCGGAAAATATCGAGAGAATTTGTGGAAGAGTAGGGGAGCGCCCTGAGACGTCTACCAGACATCGTTCTCAGGAACTGGGTATTCGTGGCACGTCATTATGCACTATTTTAAAAAAAGACTTGCATTTGCGGCCATATGAAATGTTACTATAGTCAACGCCAAACAAAGTGGCGTGCACGTCACCAAGGGGGTGTGTTGAAAAATTTACATTGTTGCCAAACTTTTTGTAAAATAATAAAATTTATTATTTACATATCTAGGTTTATAAGCAATATTAACCTCAAATGAGAACAAAAATAATAGTATAATAAAATTATAGATCTGTACTTGCATAATCATTAAGTATGACAATTATTGATCAGATGACACTATGAAACTACCATATTTAATTGATAGCTTAAAGGTACTGAATAAAAATCCAAATGGGGTCCTCCAAATTTTATGCATGGTATTTATTTTACAGAATTCATACAGAAAAATGCATTCTAAAATTAGGTAAGCTACTGGTGTAAGCTTTTTCTGTACAATAAAGTTAGACGGAGTTTCTTTCTTCAGCGCTGTCTGAATCTGAATCTTCATCACTCTCAAAGTTGATTATTAAAGGTTCGATGTCTGGTCGATCAAAAATTCGTTCTCTTTCATACCATTTAAAAATTTCTTGCTCAGTATGTCGAACACTATTTTTCCACATGTCTGGGGTAACCGTTTGTAGAGCCTCGTTCCACATATCCAAACAGTCTTTTTCACTGTTACCATCTCTACCAATATGTCTGTTATAGTAACCTTTTGCTATGCCCCAAATTAACTCAATAGGGTTAAATATACAATGGTAAGGAGGCAGACGAAGAACTTTGTGCCCATGTTGTTCCGCCAATTCATCAATCTCGTATATTTTAGGTGGTTTGTTTCTAAAAAAGCAGTTATTTTAAGAATAGGAATAAACAAAAGAAATATAAACTGTCGACCAAAATATATATAATTAAGAAGCATTATGTACCGAGCAACAATACTCAATAGCTCTGTTTTAAACATTGTGTTTAAAAATGGTATGTTTTGATTTGTCAACCAGTCTTGGATATTTTTTTTTGTCCATGCATTGTTGGACACTTTGTTCAATATCATGCTGTGATAAGGGGCGTTATCCAGTATAATCATAGATGGACTCTCCAATTTTTCTAATAACTGATGTTGAAACCATTTCAAAAAATTGTCCTGGTTCATCTCTCCATGGTAATCGCTCAATTTTGTTTTCGAAGAAAATATCGCTTCACTACCCTCAATAAACCCATTTTCATTTCCAGCATGTAATATAATGTATCTAAAATATATTAGTTTTAAATTTTATAGTGCAAATTGTGTAAAAGTACATACCTTTTACCATCTGTTTTAATAGCTTTCACGCTTTTGTTATTTCCATTTTGCCAAGAGCGACCTATGGTCCCATTTTGAAATATCCAAGTTTCATCGAGGAAGACAAACTGGTATAAGGCCTCAACCTTGGCTTGATTGTATTGCCTTAGAAATTCCACCCTTTTCAAAGCTATACTTGGTAGTTCCATGAGCCCTCGTCGCGGATTGTCCTTAAGCCACTTAAATCCAAGATCTCTAAGCAACCGCCTTAAAGACGTGGCACTACCATCAAATAATGCCCTATCTCTTAATCGAGACCATAAAGTTTGTATCGTAACTTGTTCTTCTGAAACCATGTGTAATATGACATTATAATTTAGTTAACAAATTAATGTAAATTTCTGATAAGTTATTATAATAAGATCTTACTTTTGTGATACATATTATAGATCACTTCTCGAATGGCACTTGTATCCAATGTCGCTGTGTTGGTTACACGTTTAATATAACTCCGCTTTTTCTTGGGCGATTCTAAATTTGCATCACTTTTCACACCCTCGGGAATACGACTAACTGTCCTTAAACTAATTTTTAAAGCAGCAGCAACACGCTACAAAAAATGAAATAAAATTTCACTATTATTAATATACATTACATATAATTATTAGTAACCTACCTCTTGAACAGCATTTAAAGGCAACAAAGGCCCGTTGTTGTCCCTTTCTTGCTCAAAGTAGTGCATTAACGAGGCCACGAGTTCCTTACACCGACTATTTAACTGTTTGGGCATGTTTATATACCAAAATTGCCTTTATCTACTCGTAAAATGAATAATTTTGTTTTGAAACAAACAGTTGTTGATTTACAGTATGCGGGGCCAAAAGATTTATAAAGATTTGAAATGCCACAAATTGATTCAGTGTCAAAATTAATACAAATGTCAGTTCCCAGTTTAAATAAGTTTCAAGGTGACAATGTGTCAACGCTGCGAAATCGGTTTAGTGCTTTTACATGTCGATAAGTGATTGGAGCGTTTGCAAAACATTTTATTTCGCATAATGCGTCTAAATTTATCAGAAAGCAACTTATGTGATATTTTAATAACAATGTTTATATGACTATTAACCATAATAAGAGAGTAATGACCATTTTACAATTTATATATCACATTAATATGAAACTGCAATAGAGCAATTGTTTGTGATAGAAACCTAGGCATTAGGTCGGGGAATTTTTATCGTGATGACGTGCACGCCACTTTGTTTGGCGTTGACTATATTCAAGATACAAACCAGTCAGTTACATATCGACCACCCTGTATATGCAATAGTATTTACACAAGTCAAAAAAAGAAAACTAATGCGTTTACTTCTGGATGACTCCTGCGTCTGAATTACATCCATTGCCGAAGTTTTGTCTATAATTGTATGGGACATGCGGACATGCCTATGGTAAAACAAAAAGCTACTTGGTTTGTACATTGTGACCTATCAAAACGCTAAAAGAATTATACTCATTTTCAAATGTTACTTGTAAATGAGTTCGAGTGGGTGACCTATCATCGTGTAAGTAGCTCTTCCTCTATTTACTGATGTAATAATCATTAATTACTACTAAGTGTCACGCAAAATGTGGAAGTGCGTTTATTGTGGTAAATTCATTGTTTTCAGGCTTACAAACTGCCCACGCCACACGTAAATCGTGCATTAAGAGAAAATCGTCAGTGCTCTAACAAAGCAAATACTAATTTGTTTACAAATACGATTAATTTTAGACTAACCGAATGAATAATATCCTACAGGATGTTTTCTTAACGTAAAAGCATATCTTATTATCTGGAAACGTTTTAGAAATACAGGGCCAGCAAACTTGGATCTTTTCTAATTAATAGTGCTAAACTTCAAAAACTATCTGAAACTACACCTCCAGCTGGAATGCTGTAGAGACTAACAAGTTTTACTCACGATTCTTGATTGAAAAAATGGAAATATTCCAAATCTTTGTTCTTCCTGTATAGAAGCGAGGATTTTTGGGATCGGAGGCTTGAAACTTTGCTCCATATTCATAAGATATCTCGATTAAATAATCCTGTCCAATAGTAGGTTAATGTGTGCGTGCTATAGTTTTTTCGAGGGATTGCAAACCAAAGTTGCCTTTAAAAAACCCTTCAAATCGTGAAACATTTTATTTACTGCGAACTGTCAAGTAGGTTGACTCTGCGCTTCCTCTGCAACGCTGTTGTCAGTTGTCGTAGACGATTATGGTCGGCCCTCTGGGGAAAAAATACGTCTACGTACAACCAAAAAATTAAATGGATCAAACAGACTCATACAATTAAAATTTGTATATCCAGCACGTTTTTTTGTTTAATTTGTTACCCCCAGCTGTTCAAAAAGCTTGGGAAGTGGGTACGCTTTCACACAAAGTTGCGCGTACTTCTGGCACGGATGACGATCGACGGTCCACATCGAATCGAGCAGCGGAGGCCGACTGTTACACACATGCATCGGCAGGATCAGGAAGCGTATGTTCCACATGTGAGAGTCGGAAATATTTCTTCACCCATTCTAAGTTTTAAGGATAAATGTACGGGGAAATCTAGTGAAATATATCTGAAAGATGCATGGAATTAACGCGGCTGGAGGACGTATGCGAACGTCAAAAAATTGAGATATAGCCTCCTCCACCTTCCAATTTTTCACTCAAAAATGTTTTTTCAAAGATGAACAGGATCATCAACATTTTCATAAAAACAGTTAAACTGCTTTTCTGAATTGCTTACTCGGCAGGCATACCAAACATGTGCTCAACTTGATGTGCTATTTTTTCCAAAACATGCATACATTTTTGATGTACTTATGATTCAACGATACAAGACTGTTGCGTCAGTGGTGTATCACCATTGATGCAATATTTTGATTAAATTTCTTCACTAATTAAACGAATTTCATTAATGTAGTAAACTCATTTTATTAGTTCATTAATTTTAAATAAATTGATGTACGAATCCAGGAAATTATCTTTTGCTAAACGTTTGATAAGCTTTATTCAGTAAAACGGGATATTATCAGAACTTGATTCATATTTTAGGTATTATTGAAGCCATCTTAGTATACCTACATCTAGATGTTAGAATAATTTATAATCTATAACACCATACAATCCAAATTATCGAAACAACTTAATATGTTGAGCATATCTGTATCGAGATTCTTTTTCTCATCATAGATATTCATCATGCCACAAATATTAGCGAAACTTGGAATTCATATTTCAGTATCATATACAGCATATATTTATTACTATAATATTCACCTCTGACCTAAAAGCATCTGCTTTGTCTAAAAACGTTCACATAGTGATAACTAACATAACTGCATTCAAATCAATTCAATTTCTTACCTTAGACAAAGCAGGAGTTTTCGGACCGTGGTGCCATCACTCCCAGCAGCAGTTTTCCACTTAAACAGCTGACTGCAGCTGGCGACTGTCACCGCCTGGTGGAAAACCCATTTCCGCTTTTTCTCCGATACCCGCTTTTCTCTAGCTCACGCCATTCTCTACCGCGTTGTCAGTTGTTAATATCCACTATGTATACTGGTAGATATGTATTCGGATTGTGTCGGTACAACAAATGATTTGTTTAGGAATGGGGAATGCCGCGGTGAACACAGAAACTGCGACCGTGTCTCCCTTATTCACTCGCGATCGCCAAAGATGGTGCATAACTGGATAGAGTGGAAAAAGATCCGTGTAGAAAAATGTTGTCGGATACAGCTCGTTTGTTATTAGCAGATATCTACAATTGTATCGTGTACTATATTTCAAATACCCATGTTTATGTGAATTCGTAGGTATGCCTTCGGGCATATATCCACTTTTGTTAGTGATTCTCAATAAAATATTCGATATCACACCATATTTTCATTTCCTATGCTAAAACTAGTGAGGATGTATTATAATCAATACAATTTTCGAAGTCAAGATTTTTTTATATGACCTACATCACGATAAAGCATGTCACTTGTTTCCGTATAACCGCCTATAAATTTTCACAGGAGGGTGCCAAGGATGAAAAAGCTTTGTAGTGTTTGATAATCGGTCTAGTGGTGGCGGCTAAAACACGAGAAAAAGTAGAAATCGCTTGAACTTCTTTTTTTTTTTTGACGTTTCCAAAGCTCCTAATCATTTTAGGAAAAATGTTTGTAGGGGTTAAAACTTGGGGGTGGTAGTGGGTCGGAGGTTGTAAATGCAACGTCTTTAATATAAGATAAAAACGTGCTATTAGAAGTACTTTAGCGTTCTGCGATGCGATTGTAAAACATGACTTAACTGTTTTCATATCTACGCATATTTAGCTGAATCTTATGATCCTTAAATGTACAACCCATTTCGGCTAAAATTTAATTTGTGTTATGATGGTTCTCTTAATATTTCATCAAGAAGATTGACTCAGCACTTATGACGCATTGTAATACAACAAACACGGACTGACAAAGCAACATAAATGAGAAACACGGACTTCTATGTTACTCAAACATTTGAGCCACAGAAAGCTTGTGAACCAAAGTTCGAATATTATCGCGAGCTTAATACTTCCATCGTTTAAGTCGTCGTAGATTTTGAGAATTAATTCAGTGCCGGCGAAACTACAGAGACAAATAAAAATTGCTGGAACATAGTGTTACAATGCTTATGGTTGTTAATTGTTACATATTCGGTGTCAGTAAATGACCTTCTGTCATTAAGAAACTGCTGATTTCAGTGATACTATGCACCTGTTAGACGGATACATTTTATTCTGCATCTGCCATGGAAACAAAAATATGATAGACTTGCTTTATATAGTCTAATATGTAGAAGTCGAATATTCATCGTACCTTAGTGAACCTACCTAATCAGGAATCGATTTTGCCTTTTAAAACGATTTGACTCATCGGTTTTGTCTGAAACCTCCAACTGAGGGGTAGAGATTCAATCAACTTATTCAATCAAATTTTTTGTTCTGTAGCACGCGACGCTTCTCACCTTAGGCTCTAGTTTGATGCGGCAGCAAAATTAAAAAGGCACAATCCACTAGAAATCAGTGTAAGAATGAAAATTGCATTTACTTGATCTAGGAATTCCACCATTATATAAGTTACTGAACATGCCAGAGAACATCAAGAGCTTTGGAAGTTAGTAACGTATAAATACGAGCCCCTTCCCACTTCAGTTGGCCCAACTATTGAAATCTTAGTTTTTTTCTTATCAAACACAAATAATAAAAATGTAGCAGGGTGTTATAGGTTTAAAATATTAACACTGAATATTTTGATAATATATAGTAGAAAACACCAACTTTATCACTCCCTAAGCAAATTTGCAGCATAAAAATAACACATGTTGCAATTACAGCATATCAACCTATTTTCATTTCAATGCAAAATAAGTCTATAACGCATAGGTGGCTGTGGAAAATAAAATCCATGACAATTGTTTTTATTAATCACAGCTGTCAGAATACGTTTAAAATGGTTTTGGGTAGTTAAGGTTTTCAAAATGGGTAGAGGAAAGGTTAGTGAGAAAATTCGGTTACTGATTATACATTTTTTTAATTCTGGGAAATCAAACTCAGAAATTGCAACTTTATTAGACTTATCGCGGTACAGTATGAGAAATATTGTTAGAAGATATAACGTAACTGCTTCAGTTAATATTAAGCCAGGATATGTGAAAAAAAGTAATATCACAAATGCCGACCGAAGAGCATTAAGAAGAATAATCGTGAAAAACAGGAGTGCCAATTATTTACATATAAGTGCTCTGTGGAGTGACGCTGTTGGAAGGAGAATTTCGACGTCCACAACTCATAGAGTGCCCACAAACTGGGATTTAGCACTTGCAAGGTAAGTTTTCTCATAAAAAAAGTGAAGTAAAAACCCTAAAGTTGCACAACTTGTTTATAGGCCAAAGAAAAGTCACTATTAACTCCACTGCAAAAGAAAAATCGGCTAAGATGGGCTAAAGAAGATAGACAATTGACACCTCAACAATGGTGTGCAATACAATGGAGTGATGCGGCCCGACTCGAAGTTTGTGTTGGTGACAGTCGCAGTAGAGTTATTCGCAAAAAAATGAAGCATTCCATGTTGACTGTCTGAAGAGAAAAGTGAAATTTCCAGCATCCATTATGGTCTGGGGCAGTATGTCATCAAAAGGAGTAGGAAAACTTCATTTTATTCATGGAAATGTGGATACAAACAAATATTTGGCAATTTTAGAAGAATCGCTTTTACCAGCAAGATGGTGCAGCGTGCCATACCTCAAAAAAGGCTATAAAATGGATGGAAGAAAATAATGTACCACTTTTGAAATGGGTTTCTAGCAGTCCAGATCTGTCACCTATTGATACTTTGTGGCACGAGATGAAAAAGTTTCTACGACAAAATCCTGCTCGTACAATCACCGAACTGAAACAAAAGCTTCAAGAAATATGGGATTGTTTTACACCAAATTTTTGCCAAAACTTGGTTAAGACTATGCCCCAAAGAATTTCAGCCGTAATAAAAAATAAAGGTGATGTTACCCAATGGTAATCTTTCAATTGTTGATTTGTTAACTTCACGCATTTATTTGCACATTGTTTATTTATTCAGATGTTCTATTAGTGATTTCAAATATGTATTTTTTACGACTAGAGAGTATCTAAAACGTTTTTGAGAAAATAAATTGTTTTAGAAGTAAATAGTTTCGTCATGTTTAGTTTATAAAGGCATATTTTGGTACAAATCTTGAAGTGGGCCAACTGAAGTGGGAAGGGGCTCGTATTTTCCCAAAGGTATAGGATCTGTAATCCGATGTTTGGTTATTAAGAAGGAAATGCTATTCGAAATTTGTGTTTATTTAGAGTTTTCAGTTTTGCCGCTCAAATGACGCTCTTGGAAATATTTCTATCTAGTTATTACTAGCAGTTTTATCCCCATTACCCTGATAAAATGTTTCTTCAGTGAGGCTGCCCTGCCACTCTAGTTCAACGTCCAACGTCTCTGATCGCCGTCCCGACGGACACGGGTGGTAGTGGAAAAGCGCCGCGACGTCTGCGCTGAACTCCCGCATTCCACGCTTGTGGAAGAGACCATAAAGCGGATCAATGATCGATCGCTACCTTCCACATTCAGTACGCCTGTACATACATGCGGACATTAATGAAATTTTTACAGAAAAAAAAGACCGATGTGATGCGGCACGACCTGAGATCAACCTATATTCTGTTGTGTATGGGTTATTGATTTTCATGTGAACATCATTTTAGTTCAGGCCGAATGGGATTAATCCCATAGAACGTTGTTCGTGCTTTTTAACAATCATCAGTACGGTATAGGTCAAGTCTTGAAGACAGACAACGGAAAGCAATCAAGGACATAAGGTCTACTGAAAAACTCAGTGCCAACCTATTATTTCATTTTAGCTGTGATCTATGACTATTTAGAGAAAGTACCTTACAAAAGTTATAGGGTTTAATATAAAATTTTTAGTTTCAAGTAGATACGAGTATATAGATATTTATTGATTGCACTTTGGTAATTAATACGAGCCCTGAGTCAGTGAAGTTTGTCCAATGTCACTTAAAAGCGTACGGCGTGTTGTATAGTTGTGGTTACTTCTCCGTCTGGGTTGCTTTTTACAAATGTTATATACACATTTTGATGTGTAAATTGATGAAAGTGTTAGGCTTCCGTGTTCTTTAAAAGTCTACCTGCATGACTCCATCAGGCAAAAATGAGCCTAATTATTTTCTTTTGAGCTGGAAATACCCTTTGAATACCAGTATACACATTTAGTCTTTAATTTATTCACCATCAACAACTAGTAAGACCTCTCTTGTTTTAGCTTCACAAACATTAAGATTTTCTTTATGATTCACGATGTTTCTTAAATTGCACCTTCCATAATTCTTTTTTCTACATGGAAGCGCTTTACAACTTTCATTTTATTTTTGTAGTCAATTTTTTTATCATGAAGATTTTGCCTAATACTTGGACAATCAATCCTAGACTCAAACCATTTCAGATCTGCAATATGTTTTTTCAACTGAACAATTTCAAATGTGTACCAGGTTTTAAATGAATTAGTTTGTTATTTTTCCTTTACTGTAAAAGCGACAAGCAACTTTTAAGCACCATTCTATACTAGAATGTAAATCTGGGTGCGATTTACATCAGTTTTTTTTTAAATTCCTGCCAGTCCTCTCAGGAGAGCAAGATTTTCAACATTTCCTTTACTAAAATTACGTGTTTGGAAGGTCTGAACAGTATTTGTTATTTATTCGCTTCCCATGAAAGACGGAACTATGGTCCATGCAATGCCTTTTTTGTATACAAGGTGACTCAGAAAAGTACTATAAGTAAATTCGTATTTTTTAATTATTCTCGACGGTCGCTTTTACCTGATTTTAAAATAAGTAGATATACCATGGCCAAACTAATAATATATCGGTCGTCCATGCGGCTACAGACGTCCAAACATAGATAGATGTCTTGTACTATATGGAAACTCTTCAGCATGGTCAAGGCTTGGTTTCAGGTAGGATAATGCACGAAAACTAAGCAACTATCCTTTATCCAGTATATAAGGTATATCGGAATAGCACAAGGTGACACCTATTAATAGAATATATCACTGCAAGAGTGAAACACCGGGCTGTCAATATTGGAACTGTATCCCAACCTAGCGGTCAGTAGGTCAAATGCGAACTAGTTATTCAGAGTTACCAGGTGTACCGATTTTATTCCTGTTAATATACCCAACTACTAACTCTACTGCACGATCTACCCAAAAATTTCTCAAATTATTCAATAGTATATTTCTCCTTCAATCTTCAATGTTTTGTACCTGCTGCAAATCAGCATCTGATGCTACTCCCCTTACTTCCGCTTGAATTTTCAAAACCAAGTGGACCTCAAAAGCATGGCGCCTCCCTCTCCAATTTTCATTTACCGGCAAGTTCTTGCTTTTTGGTTTAGTGTCTACCGAAATCTTCCGAAAAAATCCCGAAAAGAGATCGACTATGCGTATGTGGCAACACTGACTGAGATACAGTTTCAACAGACAGGCTGCTGTTTTACTCTCGCGGATCGTCGATTCTGGTAATAGATGGCACTTTGTGCTGTCCTATTTCAATATACCTACACGATTTTCTTATACTCACTTTGATCGTTAAAGTCTGTGATTCCTGACGTGCAATTCGGTTTTCGGTCTGAACATAGTACGGAGCTACAGGCGGTTAGGCTGGTGGAACGAGTAACCAGAGTATTCCTTAACGAAAGTACTGGCATCTTGCTTTCGGATGTCTCAAAAGTATTTGACAAGGTGTGGCACGCGGGCCTCCTGTATAAACTAGTCCAAAAGGGCTTCCCTTTTCTAAAACTACCGAAATCCTTCCTTGAAGGTAGGAAATTTCAGATCAAAATTGACAATGTCCTGTCGACAACATGGCTGATTACAGCCGGCGTCCCTCTGGGTCCGGTCCTTGGACCTATCCTTTACTCACCGTACGTCCCTAGTCCCAGCAACTGTGAAGTCTATCTCTATGCTGACGATACTGCATTGGTGGCTCAATCGTGGTCCGGTCACCTAGTCCATGACAGGCTGCAAAGTGCGGTGGAGGAAGTATTAGATTGAACGGATCGGTGGCTAATTAAAATTAACCATTCAAAAACGCAGGCAATCTATTGTACAAAAAGACGTCGCGGCGTTCCGTCTGAAGTTTCAATGAATGGAGTTCGTATACCATGGTAATCCTCCGCTAAGTACCTCGGTGTCATTCTGGACAAAGGGATGACTTGGCGGAACCATATGGAAGCGCTAAAAACTAAATTCCAAATTACGTTTTGACAGCTTTACCCATCATTATGTAAACGTTCAAAATTAAGTTTGATTAACAAGATTCGACTCTATAAGGTGGTCATAAGACCAGCAATGACTTACGCATGTGTTTTTGGTATGTCTCTAACGAAACTCTACATAGAGACCTCGATGTCCCTTACCTAAAGGACTACATTAACAAACAGGCGCAGCGGCGCTATAGCCTAGCGGAATCGCACACCAACCCTCTGTTGCGTGAATCAGTGAACAACACAGTCAAGCAAGTTCGCAAGCACAAAAGGCTCGCACTGTAATCAAAATTAATTCGTGAACTTAGAACAACCAAAATTGGAGCATTTTAACAAAATCTTTAGAAAAAATCGAATATTTTTAGACCATATCAAAATCTGTGAAGTGATTTCAACAATGCCTAAACGCTGCCTATCCTAAAAGATTCTCTTCTTCCCCTTTGCTCTCGTTCTTCCTTCTCTCCTTTCCTTCCCGTTTTTTCTTAAAACTGTTTGGTTTCTGGGTTACCAGACCTGACAGACTTACAAACTGACACTGTGTCTCAAGAGCTAAGGTCCCACGGACCGCTCTGACAACCAACGTTGACTTGATCGCTAAAGTCAAAAACCTGAGTTTTATGTCACCCGTCCATAATTATACCGCAACTTCAAGTTTTCTTTTTGACTAAGGTATATGTATACCTATATTGAAAATCGGAAAAATGCCCTTATCATTTATGATAAAAATAAAAAGGTCTGTCATTTAGTAAATACGTAATAATTAAGTTTATTTAGTAACAACGGGGGCCTCAATATGTGAATGAAAAAATTCGTAATAGGCCATACCACCTTATTTTGCATCAAATGCAAAACAATGCAGTTGCAACATTTTAGTCGAATATTCTGTGTGGGTTTTTCGCATTTTTTGGAGGGTTTTGGTGTTTTCGGGACGATGGGCGGGAACGACGGACCTGGCACGTTATAACACGACAGATAGCCTCATACTCGCTTGTCGTTTTCTAGGGCTGGACATACCTTTTTGAGAACAGGAATAAGAATGAAAACAATGAAAAGAAAAAACAGAGTCAGGTAACGCAATGACATGATTAGTTCATAAAGGATTATGTTCACCACAAACTAAACCCTCTAAGGAAAAAACTCAGACTACCTATGAAAAAATGTACCTGTATATTTTTTTAATTTAATATTAATATTTAGCATGTGAAAACTTAATGAAACTTAATCATTACTTGAAAAAATCACATTTATTATTCTTAGATATACATACATACATATACATTTAAATAATAGTAATACAGTCTCAGTTTATTATATGCAAAATATATTCCCAATTATTACACTACAAAATTGATTTCCGCAATAAGTACAGAATATTTGGAATATATGTGTCATCACCTTCATTGCCGGGCAGATCACGTAGAACTGTATGGTCTGAAACAAATGAAAAACAGATTAAACATATGCAACAAACATAATTGAATATCTTCCATCATACCTATTATTTCACCTTTTTCTCTGTCTATGAGTACTTTCAGCACTTTCTTTTTTAGCTTTTTGAACTTGAAAGTTGCTTCATATGTGGATGCAGAAATATTTTCTATGCTGACGGTCATGTCCAAGTTCTTTTCATACTTATTTATAGCAGTGTTTAATACATCCTTATCAGTTTTGTTTTTCGAGGAGGCCTGGTGACATTTGACTGCAAAGGAAATAAGAACAATAGGTATAGATCATTGGCCAACTTTTAAAAGACTAATGGAATTTCTAAACATGCAATATCTTTCTAGCTCGCATACTTTTTTACATTTACTAGTTTCATGTAGATGCCATATCAGATTGCTAAGTTATTGCTGTCAGCTGTGGGGATGCATAGAATTTTGTCGGTCATTCTTGCCTAATTTTGTAGTCTTTCTGAGGTATGTGTCTCCGCATGCCACACAATATTGCCAAGATGTAGTCCAGACAATATATCCAAGATGTATAGCTGAGCTATATTGTTTGTTTGGATGCTTGATTAGATAATTATTCTAATATAATATATAAATAGAATATACTATGCTCTGACAGATGGTTAAAAGGAGTGAAATGGCCTTTCTGCTAACCTTCTTATATTATACATTCGAAAATGCAGAAATCTTGATAAAGCTCTCACCTTTGTATGTTTCAATAGTTTCTTCTAACTGTTGGTTCTTATCCTTCAGATTCTCGACTTCTTTCGTAAGTTTTAATAGCTCCTGTTGCAATTTTTGTTTTTTTGCAGCTAATTCCTTTGATTTCTGAACAGCTTGCACACAAGCATCGGCATCAACTTTTATGTCAACATCGTCTAAAAAATATATTGTAAATTTATCAATGAATTTTAAAAGCTGGCAGGTTACACACCATTTGAAAAGACTTCTTCAAATGGTATCACTGGTTTAAGGGTTGATACTAATTTGTGATATTGAACATCCGTTTCTTTCGTCTGTTGAGACCATTCTTCCAGGAAGACTGTATCGTCAAGGTCCATCAGAACTGTTTTCAAAAGAAAAATCGTTTCAAGTTTTGAATTTAACCTAAAAATAACGGTAACACAAAACGATAAACACAAAACGAATAAACAAGCAAGAATTGACAGCTATTTGAAAAATTTGACTGAAAGCCCACAGAACATCATGTTAGAGAAGAGAGACAAGCAGCGGGGTGGATTCACATACACACAACGCGCCGCCATGTTAACAGACTGGCGTACAGGGGGCGATCAATATTTTCGTTGCTCGCATAACTTGGAGCTAGATAATAAACGGAGTATTTTCTAGAGCAAGGAAATACAGTATCTTTGTTATGAGTATGATAAATGACAATATCGGTACAAAATCCAAAAAATAATATATCCAGAGAAAATCATAATATTATAATAACATTACATTAGTGTGTCTGTGAATACATATTATACTCGGGTGATTTGCCACTCTCTTCCGTTTTGGTACCAGACTGATGGTTATATTTTTGATTGTAATTGAAGCCACGAATCACAATTGGGATTATGTATGAAACCATACCATGTCAAGTAATAAGAGAGACGGAAATAATGCAAAAGGCGAGGAAAAGAGAAGTGTATCAGTTTAAGAGGAAAGACCGTACTAGCCGTGTTGTCAACAAAGCATTGTTAAGTTTGATCCAAAAGTTCCTTCCTTGGAGAAGGATTTCAGTTGTCTTAGAAGCCAAAAAGGAAAACCTTTTTGGATTAGTTTAAAGAGGAACTAGCTCTCTTCGGAACTGATCAAACTGATAGATTGGCAATCAAATGACATCGCGTTTCGATATGTTAAATTTGGTGCATATTTTTCCCATTTTTCTCAATCAAAACTCCTAATAAAAAAAATGGGTTCAAGGTAGCTTTCTGTAGCAATATGGACTGTAAATAAAAATAAATAACCGATATTTCATTCACACACATATTCCCTATTGCGACATTTATAACTATGGCCGTTTCCTAATTAAAATATTCGGAATTCCCTCTTTTTGAAAATACTGCGATAATATCGTAGCACATGGTCATTCTGTATATATTATATTGATAAGGTCTAATGTAGATAAATCCATAATCGGAAATATGGGACCCAGCTCAAAACGGAAGGGGAGCATCAAACACAAATTTGGCGGAAGTGCCACAAATCATGTCTACATAACCATGTTTAATATTTTTTTTTCTATTTGTATTACCTTTACTTCCATAACGATTTGACAATCATATGGATATGGAAAACTCTTAGGATTACTTTGTTGGAATATTCAAGCAAATATTGGGCGAGATGCTTTTTTAAGTAATACTTCAGTTGTTTGATATACCTGCTTAAAAGCACCAGTTGAGATAATATATGACAAATGTTTGCTATACTGCGAATTTTATATATTTTTTTTGAACGTACATATTCTTCAAAATTCAAACAGGATGTTCATTTTTTTCAGTCAAGTTAATAGGCCAGGGAAATTATGTATTCACGAAAAAACTTCAAACGAAACAATAATTTTCAGATATAACATAATAGCTACATTTTTTGTGGCGTTCGTTAGGTATTCCTTGGCCCTCCAGTAGAGACAGAAAAAAATTGACAGATTTTGTTAATGTGTGCTGTTGCGATAGAGCAATCATCAAAAACAACTAAATAATCATTGCTCCTTCTATAACTTGGAAAGTATCACTGGATTGTGAAGAAATACTGAAATGCCTGTCTAATGGTACCAGCAATACTTACTTACTTTTACTTGTCTTTATCTTTTTTTCATTTCTGATGAATTTAAACAAAATCACAGATTTTCTAATAGGAGACAAATTTTCTAAGAGTCGAACTTTGTTTGTTGATATATTTTAAGACGTATCAAGAGTCTGTTTGAAGGATTCAATAATTACGAGGGATGTATTTTAAGTTTTGCATATGGAAATAAAACAACATGGTATGTAGTTTTAAATGACTTTATTGTTTTTCTCCACGAAGATTAATACATATCTGCATGCGCTCGAACCAATTTTCGAAGCACTTATTCCGCTCGTTTGCTGGCAGATCCAAAGCGGCATTTTTGAATGCGTCAACTGCTTCTTCTGGTGACTGGAACCTTTGACCAGGCACTCTGTCTTGAATTTCCGGGAAAGTAAAGAAATCGTTAGGACTTAGATCGGGACTATATGGAGGATGGCCCAATAATTCCACGTTTTCTTCCGTTGAATACTGCCTTGTTTTTTGGGCTGTGTGCGAGCTTGCATTGCCTTGGTGGAGGATGATTCTTCCTTCAGGGTTGAAGCTCGGTGACCCGCTTTTGACACAAATGTCGCCGCCATCTTTTTCGAAACACGAAAACGGATGACTTTTGTTGGCATTTCTTCACCTTGGAACACCCAAACAGCCGACTGTCGTTTATTTTCTGGTTCATAATAGTAAATCCACGATTCGTCACCACTAACAATGCTGTACACATTTTTTTGAGTTTCCGGAATTGAAACGGTCAAGCGTTTTTTGGCACCAATTAACCCTGGCTGCTTTCTGCTCTTCAGTCAGCAGGTGGGGTATCCAACGAGAAACTAATTTTCTTACTCCTAATTCTTCATGTAAAATTTTTGGAATTGAGGTCTTTGAGATCTTCAAGGAAGCCTCATCCCGACATCCCAAAGGCGATGTACGGATTTGAAACACACGTAACATATATAGGGTTTTTAGCAAAATTAAGTTTATATCTAACATAGATTTCAACTAACCTTAGCAATTTCTCACGTTCTCTCCATTTAGTTTTTGCCTAGCTAGGGTAAAAGAGGGCAGCTGCCCCCCTTGCCTCCCCGGGTACTCCCTTGGATTTGGAACAATTTTTCTTAACGGTTCACAACTTAACCGTACTATAACAATGAAGCATCAAAAATTTGTCAAGCTGGTAAATTGTCAAATCCTGCCACACTTGAAATGATCCCAGAATGGAATCTTTTTTAAAATTATAACATAAGTCGGGAGGGGATTAAAGAAAATACATTATGGCGGACAATTCAGAGGAGATCAACGATGAGAGCGAACATGAGCAAAATATGAGCGGAAATTGCATAGGATATTACACAAGGTCGGTCGAATTATATAAATTTATTTGACCTATTTTACAATTTGTTATATCTTATCAAAGACAGGCAACAAAAAGTATAGCAGAGGAACCCACTCTATCAATTCTCTACTGTTGTTCTCATGCATGCTCTGGTACCAAAATTTAAGACAGCATGATAACATACTGTGCCCCACTAGGAACACAGGTGCAGGTCCACAATGAGATTATTTCATGACATTTCTGTCTCGCGATGTTCAAAATCTCATGAAAAGTATAATTTCATTGTGGAGACAGGCATGAGATATGTGCGATACGTGAGGTCATCTCGTGAAGCAATGTCCCCCGAGAGTTTAATATACTAAGTGACATATAAATCCGAACACCCAGTTTAAATGGTTTTATTTTAATAAAAGTTGGTGAATGTATTTATCTTCTGTAAATAAGTGAAAAAATTTTCAGCCTTATCAGTTGGACATTCCGGTTTTTATACTGCTTTTTTTTAATTCACTAACGCTCTAAAAATGAATATTTCAGCCGCAGTAAAGAATCAACGTTGGCGAATTTTGGTTCTTGACATCCTTTACGATCGGTTACGATGCCTAGAGTACGGAGACCTGTACGATTTCGTCAACTTAGTGAGTTTGATAGGGGCCGTATAGTGGGACTTCGGGAAGCTGGACTTTCTTTTCGGGCAATTGCAGTTAGAGTGCAAAGAAGTGTAGACACTGTGGTTAGGTGTTGTCAGACATGGCTTCGAGAAGACCGTACGCAAAGAGCAAGGGGCACTGGACGCCGCCGTAGAATAACAGACCGTAAAGATCGCCGCCTAAGATTATTGGCCTTAAGGGACCGTTTCTCCACTACGAGGTCCATTGCAAATGAATGGTTTGCAGAACACGGAAGACCTATTGGCATGCGAAGTGTTTACCGACGAATGAGAAGTTTTGGCTTGTTTTCATACCGGCCGCACTGGGTCCTCCCTTTAACTCGAGAACACCGACGTAATCGCCTTGAGTGGTGCAGACAACGGTCACTCTGGGATCAGGAATGGAACAGTATTGTCTTTAGTGACGAGTCTCGATTTTGTTTAGGCATGCACGATGGTCGTGCCAGGGTTAGAAGGCGACGTGGTGAAAGGAGGAATCCACAGTTTTTTGTTGAAAGACATGTTCATCACACTATTGGAGTTATGGTTTGGGGTGCTATAGCTTATGGTTCCAGGTCACCTTTAATCTTCATCAGAGGTAACATGAACGCGCAGCGTTATATCCACGAAGTTCTAGAACCCCATCTTTTACCCTATCTTGACACCCTGGCAGATCCAACTTTCCAACAAGATAATGCCCAACCACATGTTGCAAGAGTCACAATAGACTTCTTTCAACATAATGATGTCACATTGTTACCATGGCTACCAAGATCTCCCGACTTATCCCCAATTGAGCACGTGTGGGATATGATGGATAGGAGATTGCTCAATTTGCAACGTCCTCCTCAGACTCTAGAAGCACTTCGAGAGGAGTTGGTGGTTGCCTGAAATGAGATACCACAGGAGGACATTGACCACCTGATCAGAAGCATGCCTAGGCGCGTTGGAGAATGCGTAGCACATCAGGGTGCATCCACACATTATTAAAGGTCAAAGGGCTTTAAAGCAGTGCAATCATTTTGAAATTTTTATCATTTACTTATTATGCTTCGTTAAGTACTTATACAAAATTTTATTAAAATAAAACCATTTACACTGGGTGTTCGGATTTATATGTCACTTAGTATATCTTGTGCAAGTTTCAACGTGTAAACATGATATATCACATGAGACATTTATTCCACTTGCTGCACGTCAGTTACGTTGTCATATCGTGAGATAAGACTTGTATTTACGGAAAAGAGTGAACCAAGTGAAACGAGAGGTTTGAAATGGGAAAATTCTAGTTCCATTTGGACTAGAGCCACGATAGAGTTGATAGAGCTATATGAATCTTATCCCAATTCGTGGGACTGCTCGCCAAAAAGCTATAAAAATAGGAATCTGATAGAATCAGCCATGGACGAAAACAAATTTCATATAAGTTTGTCTTGTTCTTTATTGCAAAGTTTACCGAAAATATACAGCGGACAGATTTTATAACATTCCTGTTCTTCCCGTTCTAGTTGTTCTAACATGTATCCCATGTATTGTTATTTTCTCTTTTCTTAATCCAATCTGTCACCCAACATTTGCGAAGCCTTTTGTCTACAGTACCGGCTTAACAGCAAGGTAATAATTAATAATAACAAACAGCCGCTTGTCGTTTATGCTTTTTTAACCCGAAATTCGCGTCCTCTCACTTAGGTATTGTAGGAACACCTTAGAGACACACTGTCTCATGTGAGAGCAAAGACTGCAAGCAGCATAACTTGAGTGTTTCAGAGTGAGAGATTTTAGTCTCCTTGTAGATGCTTAGCTTTAGAATACGGCACCGATACAAAGGCTGCTTGGTCTCTTCCATTTTAGTACCTATATTTCTCACTGATTTCTTCCAGGTCGAAACGGAGGAAATTGGATACAGATGGCGAAGAGGTTTCCTGCTTTGGCAAGGCTTCCGTCGAGAATAGAAAAAGAAAGAATCCTATCATGTTCGTACCTACCGAAATTATCCAGGCAATATTCAGACATCTCTCTTACCAGGAGCTAAGTACGTCTTTCAATGTTAAATTCATCACTACAGGAAGTCGATCATAGAAACCTATACTTGAGAATGACGTGTAGCTCTACGACAAAAAAACTGATTCCTCTAACCACAGCTTTTAAAGAAACGTTGGTGAATATTGTCCTCACAGAAACTCCAAATACACAAGGAAAACTTATATTCGGACTTCAATATTTTAATAAATAGCCCAATGTACATCCATTTTTAGATTTTATCGAATTAGAATTATATTTATTAAAAAAAACTTCGGGGAATTCTTGTTGTAGACTCAGCTAAACTGTATCCATCGAAGAAACAAAGTAAAATCAAACATATACACCCGTATTGCACGTGATCAAGAACTTAACCGTAGGAGACGCTACAGGGCCGTATCAAGCTATTGTGACTGATCTATCAAAAAATGTCGTACAAGATATGTGTTGCTGTAAATTCTATCAAAAGCATAGTAAATTATCAGGAATACACCACGCCTTTCTAATCATATTTCGACATTAGGAATCAGTGCAAAAAATTCTGTATTCACCATTTCAGCAAAATGTTACTAAAACGCACACGAAAAAAACTTGTGGACCATCTCAATTGAAATTGTTCATATTTTATTATTAACTTACATATATACCCAATAATATTTACAAATCAACCTTCTATTCACAATGCAGAGCAAATTTTTTTGAGCAAATAGAAACTACAGACGTAGTAGTAGTAGTACAAAAGTTTATTACAGACTCCATAAAGTTTGTTAGTTTGTTTGCTATTAAAATTTATATGAGAAATAGGAAGAAGGTCAAAATGGCACTATTATGCTTTGGAACTCCTAAATTAACCCTAATTTTGTGTAATTATAAATTTGGAATTTCCACATTAATAACTAGAAACTTACACTTTGATTGCAGTCTATAATGAACTTACCTGTCTTGCCAAAAAGCCCGTTAAACTGCCAGTCTTAATGGTATCAATCGATTTATATGCTGTATTCCGAGGAGCTTGAATCATCAGAATTGTTGATGTCAATTATAAGGGGTTCAACTTGGGTGTCAATGATATTGTCCATATCCCACATTTTGGTTTCAACCTTCTCTTGGACATGGTCAATACATGTTCTCCATTTTGCTGGCGTAATTCTATCGACAGCAACATCAAACAGTTTTTTAAGGTCAGAAAACTTAAAAGTGCTGTGTATTGCTTGATGTCGGCCCAAATCAACTCGATAGGATTCAGTTCGCAGTGATAGGGAGGCAGCCTGAGAATCGTTTTATTTTGGTTTTTGGCCATTTCGTCAACAATTTTTAAATCATATTTATACTTATGTCGCTTGACTATATTTATCAGCTCAGCTTTGACCATTGTTTGGTCGAAGTCGATCTTCTTTGAGACAAGCCACTGTTGAATGTCTGCCTTTTTGGTGGCCATTGCAATAATTGCGTTATCATCAAGTGTCGGCAAAATTTTGCTGAACCAATTTTCAAATGAGTTACCATCCATTTCTTCGTGATAGTCTCCAGTTTTTTTGGATTCAAATGCCCACAATGCTTCAGGAACAAATCCATCTACGCTACCTATGTGGCAAATGATCAGGCGTTTTCCCTTGCCTGAAAGTAATTAGTTATTTTACTTCTCAGCGAGCGCACTAAATGACGAAATTAAGCAACTTTTTTTAGGTTAGTGTAGGATAGGGTCTTAGATTAGTTTTTGGGTGAAGGAAATACTCAGAAACTTGGATGAGATAGCAAAACTGAGTTCGGAGCTTCCAAATCATTGATTCGATCAGAAAATGCATCCAAAAAAGTTCATATACTTCGAAACTTACCTGCAGGATTTTTCAATCCCGTCGAAAGGCCATCTAAAAAAGCCTGCCTTGAGGACCTCACAGATCTGTCTACCCAAACCTTTCCCTGCGTTCACCCATGTTTCGTCTAAATAATAAATTTTTCTTCCTTCACGCGGAATTGCCTAATTTTTCTAAGGTATTCTCTCCTCCAGATAACAATTTCCTCCTTTTCTATCAATAAACTATTCCTTCCTCTTTTCAAAAATCGAAAGTCTAGTTCTTTCAACAGCTTATCTAACGTAGATCTTTTAAAATTTGGCAGGTCCTCATCATCATTCGCTTGCTTCAATATTTTATCTATTGTAGGTATTTCATTCCTGAAGAAAAGGTGATGTACTTTTCTTCTAATGGCACTTTTGTCAAAGTCATCTATTTTTTCGATGATTTTTTTTCTCGCTGGATATGTTTTTGGCTCAGATAGTGAGTGATTTTGTCTATATTCCTTCAAGATTTTGTAAACACTTGATCGACCTACTCCAGAAATTTCAGCAACCTTACATACGATATTTTCTATAGCCAATCCACTATTCTCTTGCATCTGGTTCTTGTAGATATTTAGAATAATTTGTTTTTCACCTGCGCTAAGATGAAGCTTTTTAGCCCTTTTGCTGGGTGGCGTTAGGCTGATTTCAACCACTTCATCAGCTGTATCTGTGTCAGACATTTTAGACTAATATTAAATTTCCGCAAGAAAAATCAAGTCAAGACGTGCATAAAACATTCGAGCTCATAAACGGGTATCCGTAACTGATTACAATCCTGTGCGTGGTGTCGAACCATCAACGTGACTCTGAGAGTTCCCTCTACTATGCAGCGTTGCCAGGCTTAATGTCACAATGATCATGTTTTATTGGGAAAATTGTCAGAAATCGCCGAATGTAGAACAGAAACATTACAAGAAGTCTAACCTTGAAATGTGATTCTACAAATCGATATTCTTATAGGGGGGAAGTGTAGGGAGCTGTTATGGTTCCTATTAACCTTGGTGAAAGTTGGAAACGGTAATATCATATATGGCATACATTCGGTTGAAGGTGTGTGCACGGAAAATAGATTGCGGATAGGATTTTAATAGATAAATCTGCACAAAAAAACACAAAAGGAGATTTTTGTATTTCCCTGAAGAATATCTCAAGGTTATTTCAGATGTACTCATCGAAACTTTATGGAAGGATTATCGAAACCTTATTTTCAATTGCGATAGGGCCACATACCTCGACATCGCATTAATGTGAAAAATAAGACAATAGAAAAAAATTCCCTCACTGATGCTATCTCTTAGGAAAAATTTAACTATAAAGATTGCACAAAAATTTTCTTCACCTTTTTGAGCTTGTTTTCGCATCTCCGTATATGCCGTTCATAATTTGCTGCAGATCAAATTGGAATATACCTTTGTGATGCCATTTATATAATGTCCTTTACAACAGTTATTGCACGTATTGCACCAACAGATTGATTTGTGATCCATGCGAATGTGAGCAACCACTCTGGCGAAAACTCGCCGAGCGTGGCAACCGTGCGACTTTGTCTGGAGGCTCGTCGCTACAAGCCAATCAGGAAGAGGCCGACAGAGCGCCATGGCTACCGATCACGCGTTGATCACGAATCAACCACTGTTTACGATTACTTTGTAGCTTCGTTAGATACACTTTAGTTGTATACACTGATAACCAAATTTGTCTGCCGACTTGAGTTCAATGTGAACGAGAGAGAAGTGTGTATAGACACATATGTTAGAAAGAGATAAAAGCCGGCTGGATAGCAAAGCTCATCACTGCGTTGCCTAGCAACGCTGTCGTGGCACTCTGCAATTCAGATGCATGAGTTAGTTTATTCTCTACACCCAAACAATGGATTTATTTTGAGCGTGCACACTTTTAAATTGTGAACTGTGTCGAATCTGTTTAGGATCGATTCCGGATCGGTGTATTTTAGCTCGAAATGATAGGTCAGTATCGCCACAAATTCTGCAACATCGCGTCATTGGTTCGTTTGATATCACCGCATCTTGTACACTCCAAGGCAAGGTTTCTGGTGCAACATATTGACAACGCGGCAGATTGCACGAGCTTCTGCGCCACCGTTGCCAGGCGATCTGGTGATGTCCTTCGCTCTTCAGCTGGCTTCCATCTCTTTGTAACATGTGTTGATACACACTTCTCGTACAAATTTACCTCAACTCGTCAGACAGTTTTCCCTGTATATGAATCATATGGTAGCGATCATTCCAATTTACAATAATCTATTATTATTTTTATAGGTCAAAATGTGAGATTAGTCAACCATAGGTTCAAACTAATTGCAGAGGATATGTTGGATATGACATTCAAGAATGTCGAAAAGCAGTTGATACGACTTGAACGAACCACAGAACTATCACTAGCGTATACGCAAGATGATATGGAAATCAAATGCATCACCAAGTTATTAAACTTTTTGGAAATACTCAAAATGCAGGTATTCAGAATTCAGCAGCTTACTACATCTCCTGACTGTAACTATTGGTGACATATCTTGGCCAGAATCTTCATTATTGAAAGCATTCTTTGAATAATCCAGTTCTTTTTTTTATATACTTCAACTACCACAAAGGCCTAAGGGCTAAGCACCCATTGGGTACCGTGGGGCTATAGGGGGATACATGGGAAAGGGGGGACGCCACACGGACTCTGGCCAGGGAACACGTGTGCATGCAACATGCACACATTCTGGCTCCGCCTACGAGATCCGCCGGGTGGTACCTCCACGTTCGACAGTCAGAGACCGTCTATCACCTACGGACAATCACAACATCCATAGCCAAGAGAAAAATTTCTCCTGGGACGGGACTCGAACCCGCACAGCGCACGGCGACTGATCAGGAGACCGAAGAGTCTACTACTGCGGCCACCGCTGCTGCAGACAACGTCTGAATTCAAAAAATATTTTACTTACACGGCACCATATCTACTGAACGATTATTTAGAGCCTTTTGAAGCACCTGCCAACCAAAACTTGTAAAATGAAATGGAAAAACGGCTAATACAGCTACCTACAAAGATTTGATTCCACAAATTAAATGTATGGCGCCTGCTACACTATCTTCCGTTAACACTCAGACTATAACGTATTATATTCTGTGTTGTGCATAATATTTGTTGTGAATCATACAGTCAAAATCTCGAAAGATGACTATTACGTCATACCATAAATTGTACTGATGGACGTACGTCGATGATAAAATCACGATGTCAGGAACATAATGACAACAAATTTATATTATGATTTTGTGAAGTTAGGTTATTTCACTGATTATTTTTATTTTCATTTTATTTAATGGTTTTGAGTGATACCTTAATAATAATGTTAGTGGGGAGTTTTAGTTTTGAGAAAAAAAACAGATATGAGTAGAATACCTAAAGACAGGAACACCAAAGATCAAAGCATTATTCGAAAATAACCTAACCTGCTTTAACATAACCTAACTATTCATCTTTCAAATATGATCGATCATGCAACATGAAAACATCGTCTATACATGGAAATTAGCAATACAGTTTGTTTAGACAATACAATTCTGTTTGTCTCTGTCTAACATATCTGAAACTTCATTAAAAATATTCACAAATCGCTGTAGTCTGTCTTTACTACAGACTAAAATGATGACGTAATCGTCATCTTCCGTGATTTCGACTATACTTATCATTCGGTTGATGTTGCATAAACGATCATGAAATTAACTTTTTAGGGGTAGGTGAAAAATGGCCGTTCCAATCCTCTTTCCTTTTGGAATGTTGTCGTTTTTATATTTTTTATGGATATACATTCCAATAAAAATTATTATTATTATTACCAAATTATTCATGGCAATCTTTGCAGTATGCGATCGTCATGACCACCTTATGGAGGTACGTATATAATGAATTCTACAAAGTACCTAAAACATGTATGTATGCTGGACAGCTGATAGATGCAAACAAGACATTCATTTGGACATTTTTACACTATCCGAATCAATTGTACGCGCCGGCAGTTATCAGGGATTATGTAAGTATAGTTTTCTAGACCATCGTAAATAGGTGTCGTCTATTCATCTCTCGCAATATACACGGTGTAAACGTTATGGTAGTCATTATTAAAATGGGTACTGGGTGGGTTAAAACAAGAAAAAAGTTCATATGACCCATGGTCCAAAACTCAATCGATTTTTGTCTAAATGGCTTTATAGTTTTCAACTTTAAGTGCTTTTTATCGACCACAATCACCATAATCTTACTAATTTTTATAATCTAATCCACAAACGTTTTTAAATTGGGTAATTAACAAATAAATGGCATTAAGTTGTTCTAAGTTAAGCCAAAAGTTATAGTCAGTAAGTAAGTAAGTTTCATTAAATTGGATATTTAAAACACACATGACAACAGCGCGTCGGTCATCGTGTACTTTTACGCGTGACGGGATATTAAATTTCCATAATACTCACACGTGGGCCCAAGAAAATCCTCATACCATTCGTGAAGGTCATTTCCAACAACGTTTTAAAATAAATATTTGGGGTATTCTTGACGATCAGGTAATTGGCCCTTTTGAGTCCCCCAAAGTTGTCAGGAGAAGAATACCTTAGCCAATAACCTACCAGAAATCTTGGAACAGACCTTAGACAACATGCCATTACAACGGAGACAGAATTTGTGGTTTCTTCATGACAGGGCACCACCACACATTTTTAGAGGCATCATTCAGTATTTGAATGATCATTATCCAAATCGCTGGATCGGTCGAAATGCTCCTGATCCTCGAAAATGGCCAGCAAGATATCCTGACCTCAATCCGATGGATTTCTGGTATTGAGGAGAACTTAAAGGGATGATTTATGGGACTGGTCTATTAACAACTGAAGAACAACTTCGCGAAAAAAATTTGAATGCGGCTGAAATAATAAATAGACAACTTCGAGGACCTAGAGTAAGAAGAAACTGGGTTCGTCGTAATGAAGCTTGTGTGGAAAGTGGAGGACGACATTTTGAACACCTTCTTTAAATACAAAAAAATGTGCAGTGTGGGTTTTAAAAAGGAAAACAATATATGTATTAAAATCGTGTTCCCTATTTAGAAGTGGATTTTTTTAATACGTTCAATAAACTTTCACACACCAGGTGAAGCGCTGAGACAAGTAGTGGTAAGTCCGTCTTTTTTTAAATTGTTTGCATTTTACGAGTATATTATCAAATAATGAAATAATACAAGAGCTAAAAATAACAAACTCCATCTTTATTTACACTGCGTTCGGTCGTAATTTGCGTCCGGCATTGCGGCGTTGTCATATTTTATTTTACTTTAAAGTCGCTTTTCTCTTAAAAAATGTTGTTTTGACCCCATGTTATATGAAACTTTTTGCTTCTATCAACCCCCTCTATCACGCATTTAAATAATGACTATCATAACGTTTACACCCTGTATAAAAAGAAGTCGAAGAGAACGCACATCCTTGAAGCTATTTGAGATTATAACGAAGTTCTAGAAATTGAGATAATAAGGGATTATACCGTAAAAATAATAATCAATACAGTTGTACGTGAAATGTTTTCATTCTGGAATATTCGACAGATTTCAGCTTTAGGTACCCGCCCAACCGACATACTTTTTCTTATTTCTAATTTATATTACATCTTAAAGCGAAAACTTCAACATGAATAAATGTCAACTGACAGTATAGTATGTAAATTGTTCCTTCCAAAGGAAACTTAATATTATTTTGTGTTTGTCAAAATTAAAGACAAGGAATTTTGTACCAAAACTGTTAGGACATAAGTATATGAGAATTGACACAATCGAATGCTTTCGTTAAGTCACACAGTTTCGCTAATGCAAAAAGGGAGACAGATCAGTTGGTAGAGGGAAACTTTATGTTTAAAGCGACTGGCGTAAATTCTGGCCAGCAGAAAGTATCTAGTATCTATAGTGAAAATAAGTTATGTCTGGCAACCCTGGGAGTTTAGATTGCCACGCATACCGGGGTAGGAAAATACAGTATTTGATGATTTTTAGGCATTGCCTGTAGAAGTGACCAAGGTCATCCAGTTGACCAAAATGTTCTGCGTACATTTCGACAAAGTAACAGAGGAGCCAATGCCGAATTGTCTAAATCGTAGCGGTTGCAAAATTGTTGACTTACTGAATGCTGCAAATTTTGCTCAGAAAACAACTATATTCGAGAAGTCTACCAAGGATTCATTTATCGGACAGGTATTTTAAACCTTCTATCACGCATCAAGGTCAAATCGTATTTGACTAATAATCGACTATCACCGACTTGTAGGCTGTTATAGAATATGTTAGGGATGTTCGATATTTAGAAGTATCAATACCAATTCCGAAACCCGATATTTTGAATCGATATTTTTTCGATACATTTCACGAGTATCGTTATCTTTTGATCCGGCCTGTGTCAGAAAGGACTGACTGCAGATTACTTTTCTTTTTTGTTTCCTTCCACTTCACGACCTCACATGATTTATTCTGGATTCCAAGGTTGCCATATTAGAGGGTTTTCCCAAAAAAAATTATTTCAATGGGGAAAATTTTGAGGACTGACTGCAGATTACTTTTCTTTTTTGTTTCCTTCCACTTCACGACCTAACATGATTTATTCTGGATTCCAAGGTTGCCATATTAGGGGGTTTTCCCAAAAAAAAATTATTTCAATGGGGAAAATTTTGAGGATATTTTTTTCTAAGGATTTCTTTTGGGAAAACATATTTTACTGGTTATGTATTATTATTATGTATTTGTCTTCCGATTAGAAACAAATACTTTCACCTTTTGGAGTATTTAGCGACATACAAAAAACATGTCGCTCAAAAAAAGTATTTTAGGATCCAAGAATACCTAACAAATCGTAAACCTACGCTAACAAAAAATAAATTGTATTTTTTTGGGTACTTTTTTTGAAGAGTCCTGAATTTATGGGATTTTTACATTTGGCTGGAAAAACAAAGCTAAGCGACCTGGCAACCCTGTTGGATTCGGTTTCGGGGAATTACACACACATGATGCACAGTGATTTTAGTACTGATTGAATAAACATTATAGTTTAAAACAAAACATTATTGTGATAGTGATGCCTCCTGTAGAAAGTGAATTGTGGAGCTTTTTTGTCGAGTTTAGTTGGGAGATGTAAGTTAGGCAATTGTGAGGTTTTTCACCTATTTTAGTGTTTTAGTGAACGTATTTGACAATCTAGTCATGCAGTTGAAAAAGTAAACATTATTTTGAGGATTGTTAGAAAAACAACTTCGATTTTCGGCAGTGTATGTTCCTTATCGGAAAGTTTCGACACTTGTGGGATCGATATTTTTATTCCGATATTTTAAAGTATCGATACTTCCCAAAGCGATACGAATCGGTACATGATTTCGATACTTTTCGTGGATCGGAACATCCCAGAACGCGTTAATTGTAGGCACCTCAAATCTACATCCCTCGAGTGCCCGACTGTCCAACAGTACGCTTTTGTATGACTGTTGTGCGGTATACAATTAGGTACATAGAATTAATTTTTTTAGCCTTATTCTTGGTTCCAGCTCTTTTTCGGTAGAAAATCTGGAAATATTTGAATTATTTATAAAAATCGTGGAAAATGAGGACTTATTCGATATTTCGGTAAATACGATCTCAGAAATATCAAAAAATCGGTAGGTTCGGCAACACTGAATCACACCAAAATTCGGAATTCTGACAGTTGCAGGTGTAAAACTTGCACAGGTACGACGCTGTTCATATTACCCACATGCCACCAGCGCCACCTCTGAAAGAATAGCTCATCGACCACTCTAGGCGAATGTCACGATCAGTAGATTATCGGACTGTGCCTTTTGACTACTTACATTGTTGATTCCTAACTACCCCTGTGTATTAATTGCAAATCTATATAGTAAAACGTAAACTTTTGCACGAAATGTAAAATGATGTAAAAAATAAAAAACAGATGTAAGCAAGCAGCCTTTTGTTGTGTTTCCAACGTTGTCTTGACGCCGAAATCCTCCTGACATATACACTGCTGGTGGCTGCACGTCCGCTGTCAAACGGTGTTCATCTACGTTGGGAAAAGGGCGTAATCCATTGTTAGTTCAGTGGTGGATTCCACGTCAACCAGCAATTTGTTGGTCCGATCAAACAGATAGGATGACAATCAGTGACAGCAACAAAAGATTGGGAAGTCTCTTGCCGATATCGTGACGACACGTCAATAGCGTTGCCTTCATTCTTCGATGAACTCTTTAGCCTGCCTTTACCCCGGATGGCTGTTCCATTTCTTATGGACTATTCAGTGCGTGTTCTCGTTACGCCACAGAAAGGGTCTGGATCTATAAGGTGATTGGCCTCACCCTGTCGGGCTAGCTCATCCGCTATTTCATTGTCTTTGTGTTCTTCATGTCCTGCTACCCAAAGCAATGTAACCTTGTTTCGGTTTCCCAGCTCTTTGAGAGTGTTCATGCAATCCCATACTACAGTATATTCAGATAAGAGATAGACCAGACATAAACAAGACCACGTGATCATCGAACGCTGTAACATTCGGCAGGGACGTATTAAGAGTCACGCAGTACATATTTTAGATAGTAGATGCTGTTTTGCGTAACTTTGTAGTAAATTAGCACAATTCGATGTGTATACGATTGGTGATGGATATAGGATCATGTGGGGGTGGGGTAAGAAATATATAATGATGTAAATATACATAAGGGTTTCAAAATTTTCGCTTCGATTTCCAGCTTCGGATGCCGCCTGATGTTTGGTGAAATACAGTCGAATATAATCTCAAAATGGCGTTTAAATTAGCCTAAATTAAAAATAATCGTATACCTCTTAAAATTGCTTTTAGAATATTGATTAGTATATTTTTTGATTTCTAGGTAAATATGTAACCAAATTAAAACGTTCAAAACGTAAAAAAATGTGCATGGTTGAACATTGTCAGAAAGTAGATTCTTGAATAGGTTTTGCCAAAATGGGTTCAAAAATGTCAATAATTAATTAAAAAATACAGTAGCTTTATAATTACTTATAACTTACCGAATTTGATGAACGACATCTTTTATTGGAAAGATGAGCTTGATGAGCTTTCATAATCGCTACTGCCTGAAGCACCAACGTCAATAATGAATGGCTCGACTTGTTCCTCTAAAATATTGTCCAGTTCCCACATGCTCTTTTCAACTTTGTCGTTCACGTGCTTAATACAGTTTTCCCATTTTTGCGCTGTTATTAATTCTAGTGCTTCTTTGAAAAGTCCTTTGAGGTCACAAAATTTAAAAGTTGTATTGTGCTTAGCTATATAATTTTTAACCTCTGCCCATATGAGCTCAATGGGATTGAGCTCGCAATGGTATGGAGGTAAACGGAGCACAGTTTTATTTTGACTTGTTGCCATTTCGTCAATGGCGTATTTTTGATATTCCGCCTTCTGATCCTTGACAATTCTTAATAAATGGTACTTTCAGCATTGCTTCTTCAAAGTTGATATTTTTCGAGCGGAGTCAATTTTGAACATCAACTTTCCTTGAAGCCGTTGTAGGGACCTTCTCCATTCTTCGAGAATGATAAGGCGCATTATCCAACACAATTACTGCGTTTTCCTCTAAGTTCGGTAAAATTTTTGAAAACCACTGTTCAAACGATTCGCCATTCATTTCCTCGTGGTAATCTCCAGTTTTCTTAGACTCAAAGCACCACAGACCGTCAACAACAAATCCATCCTCACTGCCAATATGGCAGATAATGAGCCTTTACCTGGAAATCGAAGTACTAACTGGTGTAGATTTATTTGAATAAGCGAACCTTTTTCAAATGTTTTCATCACATTCAGCGAAAAAACATTGAGACATGAGTATCAGATTGCTATAATTGGGATTATTTAGTCATATTGAAAGAAAGAATATTGAACGTCGTATGATTACTCAGCGCTTCACAATTTAATTTAAAGTTATAAACCTTTAAAAAATGAATGATCAGGAACCTGAAATACGCGCAAATATTAATATTAACAAATTATAACTTTATAAAGCTTAAAGTATGAATTAAAATGATTAGAAATATTAGGAACGGTACACAATATAAAACTTAGTAACTTTTTTTAAGTTTATAATATTCGACATATTTTAAGATTATATTAAAAAATTATTGAAATATCGAAAACACATAAAAACATGGCTTAAAAAAGTTCTAACAAATGAAAATGACAATAAAACATCCACGCATTTTATCGAAAGTTATAAAAGTTTTGTTACTTGTAATATGTTTTATCTGCCCCCTGGAATTAATGTTTAGAACCTTGTTCCCAAGGTTTGAAAAACATCCGATTGTTGTCTATTACTCGTATTTACCTGCTGGATTTTTTAATCCGGTGGACAGTCCATCTAGAAAGGCCCTCCTGGATGAAGTTACAGAATCATCAACCCATACTTTACTTGTAGTGTGTCCTGCGTTTACCCACGTTCCATCAAGGTAATAAATCTTCCTGTTTTGATTTCTATGTTTCCCAATTTTTGTTAAATAATCCCTCCTCCATAGCACAATTTCTTCTCTATCCAGTAGTAAACTATTACGACCCCGTTTTTTCCATTTGAAATTTAAATGCTTCAGTAACGCATGGAAAGTTGATCGTTTGAAATTTGGCAACGTTGTATCTCCATTTACCTCCTGCAGTACTTTATCTATAGTAGGTATTTCATTCCTAAAGAAGAATTCATGCACTTTCCTCCTAATCGCATGCTTATCAGCTTCATCCAATGATTTAACAATACTTTTGCGATGTTTACTGGTCATTGGCTCAGAAAAGGTGTGATTTTTTTTGTATTGTCTTAACACATTAAACACTGATGCGCGACACACCCCAACTTTGTGAGAAACCTTCACAACAATTTCTTTGATGGTTGATGCCTCGTTCTCCTCGCGCTCGATCTTATATATATTCAAAATGACCTCTTTCATTTCTGCACTCAGGTGTCTTTTTTCAGAGCAGTATCTGTACTACTGGGCATTTTGCGCAAGCAGTTGATAACAATAACAATCAATAACAAGGTATAACAATAACAACGACAAACTCAACAACTTAATAAGATAACAAACGAAAACGTCCAAAGAAATATCAAATTGCAATGATGCACACGACATACGTAACACGTCTGAACCTGAATGTGACTCTGCCTTGATACGACTGCTCTGCCGCTCGGCATAGGCATTTAATTGCGAATTGACCAATGAGGGCTCCTGTTTTACGTCGAGACGGCGGCGTTAGCGTGAAAATCACCCGAACCTTTTTTTACATCCGGTCTATCTCTTATCTGAATATACTGTAGTTTAGACGATATTTGCGATGATTAACTTCATCGTAAATATGCAGCCTTTATGGTTGCCTGGCTGTCTGAGCAGATGGCGGTCGACTGATTTGCAATCTCATCATATTCCTTATCAGCACTTTTGACTTGTAATAATAAACTCCAGCTCCAGGTTCGTCTTCAGTTTTAGAGCCGTCTGTTTGCCAGTAAGCAGCTTTTGGCATGTATAGGATGGACTATTGTTTGATAAATTTTATCAAAATTATACACTGGGGTTTTATCCGTGAGCACTACCAATATAGGATCTGCTATATGTTCATTTTAGTACTTATTTTAATTAATTAGTTAGCCTCAATGGGTAATATGTTATATAAAACTACCTTCAACTTTTGTAACTCACAGCACCGTTAAACTAAACCACGATCTCACCCAGGCAACCCGTTATACAACCTGCTTGGTTGCCTATGGTGCTATCACGTTTCCTCTCTCCCTCTTATTTGTTTGCTCGCAACTAGTTTGCTTGGTTCATCGAGATCCTGGTGAACGAATGAATGAGTTCTTCGATGAATGATGATTAAGTTCATCTAGTTCAGTCATAATGATCGTGAAAGACGGAAAAACATAAAATATATTGTCATTAGTATTCGGTCTTTACTTTGAGAATGGTGGCCGAAATATTAGTAAAGAATCATTTCTAAACACGTGGTTCCATTTGGCCAGACAACCTTGTTGTTATATAACTTGTTTTTAGTATACATATTATTTCCGCAACGGCTGGTTCGTGGCCTTGCCATGTCCATTAGCCAAAGAGATGGACTGGCCCCAACGTCAACGCATGATGCACATGCGACTTCGAAGATTGGTGCTGGCTCACAACGACATGTTCATGCAGCAAGCTCAGTATGAGAGGGAACTGATGCTGAGACCGGATCCAAATAGCAGGATTAAGAAGCCCGGGAATAATGTCTACACGGGATACGGAGATGTTGGCCATATATTCTTCTACTATGGAGTCATGAATGATGGTAAGTATATCTACTTTGAGTTCACGCAAAATTGGAATTAAATAGGTAACACAGTTTTTATTTTTTATTAATGGAACAACATTTTAGGCAAATAACCTAACACGTAACCTAATCATGGCATTGCTAGCACATACGCCGGTTTTCATTCAAGTTTTTCCATGACTGTTTTCCATAAATGTGACTAAATCTCGGGGATGAGACGTAAGGTTTTCTCTTATAGCTCACGAATGTCTATGGGCTTTTTTCTAGCCGAGTCAGCTTTTGCTGATGCAAATAACGGTGCCGTATACTCTGTCGTCTCATTGATCTGAGTTGATAGATTCTATGATTTAACACAATTGCATTTCTTTTTATACTGGGTGGAGCATCGAAAACGAAACAGACGGATTTACTGGCGGCTCAGTTTTTTTTTTGAAAAACGCTCAGACCCGTCGATTTTGTTTTCGAGGGGGACACAAGTTTGGGCGGGGGTGACACCAACCCTAAAATCTTAAATGGAAAGGGGGGGTCGAGTGATACCTTATTTTAAAGGTCTTTCAATTCCCTTTATAATGATGTAAAATACATGAACTTCAGTTCAGTAGTTTTGAAGATTTATTGATTTGAAGCTTAAAGTAGACTTTAATAGGTACATCAGTTTGTACTACTTTCAGAAGAAATTTGACTAAAAGAATTTACTTAATAAGTAAATGCTTTTCTTCACTACGCCCATGGTTTGTTTATCATTTTGTTGTTGAAAATAGTTATTGGAGCGTTTTTTTTTTTGGCAAAAAAGTTATTTCTTGAAGAAAGATAAGGAAATATCTCTACTTATTTTAAATAGGAATTTAGTACATAGTTTGGGATAGGTTTGACCAAACTTTGTTGCTAAAATAACTTGTAATGATTTATTACATAAATTAACCAGGTATATTCCACATCAGAAAGAGTTGAGATTATCGAAATAATTTTCGGAAATAATCAGTGGGCTAATAGAACAGCAGAAATATTTAATGAGCCACATGAGAACAGTAAAGTGCATCGAAAATATGTTCTAGAGCTTGTAGCTAAATTTCGGGAAACTGGGTCAGTCGCCAATAAAAAACGCAACATTGAAAATCCCATAAGGAACGAAGCAATAGAAGTGGGGGTTTTAGGGCAAGTTTATGTAGATCCTACGTTAAGTACCCGCAAATTGGAGACTGTGTGTGGTGTTAGTCGACGTATTGTCCAACGGATTCTAAAGGCCCATAGTTTTCATCCGTATAAAATTCACCTGGTACAAGAACTTAATGAAGACGATTTTGATCAGCGATTACAATTTTGTGAAGATATGAGTGAACGAATTATAAACGATCAACATTTTCTATTCAACACTTGCATTTCCGACGAATGTTCCTTTTTCTTAAATGGCGTAGTAAATCGTCATAACTGCCGATATTAGTCCGATTCTAATCCCAGAATTTATCATGAGGCTCATAAACAGCAGCCACAAAAATTAAACGTTTGGGCTGGTATTTTTGTCGATCATTTAGTTGGTCCTTTTTTCTTACCTGGAAATTTGACCGGTGAAATGTATTTGAAATTACTGGAAGACGCCATAGATCCTGCATTATCAGCCATAATTGAAGATCAGAATGATCGGCGGTACATTGCGAATAGGTTGATGTTCCATCAGGATGGTGCCCCACCACATTACGCATTACGTGTTCTACAATATTTAGATCAGACGTTTCCAGATGGATTGGTAGAAAAGGTGCCATTGAATGGCCCACAAGATCGCCAAATTTATCACCTTTGTATTTCTTTATGTGGGGTCATTTAAAAAGCAAAATCTATGCTACTCAGCCAACATCATTAGAAGACCTGCGACAAAGAATTGTGAATGAGTGCCTTCAAATTACTCCTCAAATATTGCGAAATGTGCGGCAACGTTTTGAGCAAAATCTGTATTATTGTATGGAGAGTCATGGTAGCCATTTTCAACATTTACTTGCCTAACGGGTCAGTTCATTCTTCATTTTTAAATTACTTTGCTGCCAAATGTATTGATCTCCACTAATGATGATGTATTAGTTTTATTTAAGCTTTAAATCAATAAATCTTCAAAACTACTGAACTGAAGTACATTAAATTTATATCATTATAAAGGGAATTGAAAGACCTTTAAAATAAGGTATCACTCGACCCCCCTTTCCATTTAAGATTTTGGGGGTGATGTCACCCCCGCTTAGGGGGCTGTACGTGCTAACCTGATTTTTTTCCAAACTTGTATCCCCCTCGAAAACAAAATCGACGGGTCTGAGCGTTTTTCAAAAAAAAAACGGAGCTGCCAGTAAATGCGTCTGTTTCGTTTTCGATACGCCACCCTGTATAATTATTTGAAGTCAAACGGCTATGACAAAAAGATCAGAGTCATTGAATGAGAAAATTCACCTCATCAACGAGTTTTTATGATATTTATGGAAATTGGTCATAAAAAATTGGAGCGGGAGTGTGTACGAGGTCTGTAAATCAAGTAATGAAACTGGCAACGTAGCGTTCGATCTGGCAACACTGGAGGCATCGGGCTTGGAGAGGAAACAGTGGAACACGTGATCCGCCTTCAGTACAAGATTGAACTCGCTCAAGTCATTTAGCTGTCCGCAACAGTTTTTTTGGTGAAACAGTTTTTTTCTATTGTGTTCTAAAAATGAGTAACATCAATTTCGAACAACGGTGTGATATCAGGTGTTGCTTCAGACTTAAGCATAGTGCAACGGAAACTCTTGCTTTTCGGTGGCTTAAGGCATTTTCAGAAGGGAGAAAGTTGATTGAAGATGAACCACGTGTGGAAGGCCTTCATCTTCAAGAACCAGCCTCCTTATATGCCCGACTTGAGTCCTTGTGTCTTTTTTCTCTTCTTGATGTTGAGAAATCACCCCAATGAAAACATTTTGGGACAGTCGAAAACATTCAAACGGCTGTAACCACCCAGCTCAAGTGTTGGAGTCCTAGCACTACTATGAGGAGTGGAAGAACCATCTCCAGCGCTGTGTGGCTTCAGAAGGAAGTTACTTTGAGGGTGAAAATATAAAATTGTAATTGTATTTGAATAAAAAAATTAAAAAAATCAGACTCATCACTTAATTTACAGACATCGTATGTAGTCATGTACTGTGAGCTGCATTGAACTATAGATACTGCTAAATGATCAGACCTTTCTGGATATGAGTGGTTGTGGTGGATGACACTTCCATTTGACCAACAAAATTTACATGATACTATTCCGTGCATTGTCTGAGTATGTCAGACTATGTCTTGGTCTCCGTTCTGTCGCGGTCTGGCCATTTAATAAGCCCAAAACTTCACCGACTTTACTTCAGTGTTACGCGAAATGTCAGTACGAGAGATTGTTCTGTATAAATTCTTTTTGGCATCGGTTCATTCCTGCTGCACAGTGGTAGAAAACATTCTTTGATTGCAGGTGCATTTGCGCAAAAATTTAACAGCGATGAAGACAACGAAGAAGAAGAGAATGATGAACTAGATGTTGGTGCCGCTCAAGATGCCAACCTCCCGCGAATGAATTCGGATGACGACATTTTTTACAGGTCTGTCACTGTCAAAGTAATTAATCAAATAATTGCTTAGGTTCAACTGCGCCAACTGCATGGAACTGAAATCAAATGGCCGACTTTCGTCATAGTTTTGACGAATTTCAAGACCAAATTTCGAAATAACAAAGTTAACGTAAGGTAAAACAGCAACTAGAACAAAATACAGGTGAATGAAAGTGCTACTGATAATAAATTTCATGTACCGCCCTTTCACATCTTCTAAACAATTTGAACTGTTCAGCGTTCGTTTCAAATTAAGTTTGTTAAGCTCTTTCTCAATTTTCAACATTCGGAGCAAGTGTTCTGCTGTGCCCACTCAAGCATCCCTGCATACGAGTTTTGTACAAGATAAACAAGTATACGCGGTGCGCGGTGGAAAGATTCATGAAAAGGATCTTTTTTTTATACTCCAACTAGCACGAAGGCCTAAGGCCTAAGCACCCATTTGGTACCGTGGGGCTATAGGGGGATACATGGGAAAGGGGGGGACGTCACACGGACTCTGGCGAGGGAACACGTGTGCATGCAACGTGCACACATTCTGGCTCCGCCTACGAGAACCGCCGGGTGGTACCTCCGCGTTCGACAGTCAGAGACCATCTACCACCTACGGACAATCACAACATCCATAGCCAAGAGAAAAATTTCTCCTGGGACGGGACTCGAACCCGCACAGCGCACGACGACTGATCAGGAGACCGAAGAGTCTACTACTGCGGCCACCTCTGCTGCCTGAATACACTCGCGAAGTATCAACATCCTAAGGACATATTCCGTCCTTACCCTATAAGCACATAAAGCCCATAACCAAGGTGCTGGCTTGATGGGTGGTCCCAAATAGCCAAAAATTAAATGAAATTTTAAGTAAGTGTCTAAATGCCTTTCTTCCGGTCGTCAATTCTTCCCAACGGTAAAGTAGTGCTCCGGATTTTGCTGCGGTTTGAAACCCGTTCAGCCGAAGGCCCCGAGCCCACGTTCCTCTACAAATTGGTTATGGCTGTGCAATGTGCTATTTTTGGTTTATTCAAATCCGATTTATAAAGAAACAGCGCGAATCCACATAGCCTGCTGCAGCGACTGAGTTAGATAGTGACGTACCTCGCATCTTTACACCTAATATTTTGCTGGATTCGATATTGCATTTTTGTATGCGTTATTAGGAAAGCCCGCAGTTTTCTTATGGAAAATGGCACTTTCGACTAAATTAGTTGATATTTTCAGTAGAGGTAGCTTTCAACATAGCGATCAAAAGTCACGAGGGGGCAACCCCCAGATACCCTCTCGACTACCTACGGAACCCAGAAATTCCAAAAATATTGGTTGTGATAAGATATGGAACGACAACATAAGTTTTGACGTAATGCAACGAGAGACAGGTTAGGATCGATTTCAATAATGATACAGGGTTTGTCCGGAAAGTAATAGGACTCATTTTCTTCCACCATGACTGTACTTCGAAGCCTGGATTCGGTAGAGGGGGTTCCTAGCTAACGAATGAGCGGCTGGTCAGTTGTCTCCGAGGACTTGGAGAGTCAGGACAGGCATTTTCGCGCGACGTGTTTCTGTGAGTGGTGCAAGCCGGAAATGCAGCGTTCGTTAGAGCAGAGGTACGCGATTAAATTCTGTGTGAAACTCGGTAAATCTGCGACAGAGACGTTTGATATTATCAAGCAGGCTTACCAAGGTGTTGTTTTAGCAAGAAGTGGTGTGTTTCGGTGGCACCAGGCCTTTTTGGAGGGCCGGGAAGAGGTCGCTGATGAAGACCGTGTGTGTTTTGAACTCAGACCGTCGACTAAGTATTCGTTTAATTGCCCAGATGTTAAATTTACCAAAATCTGTGGTTCATGACATTGTGACACAGCATTTGAACATGCGCAAGCTGTGCGCGAAGATGGTCCCAAAAGTGTTCACTGACGACCAGAAATTGCGACGTGGAAGTGTGCCAAGAAAATTTGAACATGTGTGAAAGTGACCCCCAATTTTTGAATAACGTAATCACAGGTGACGAGTTGTGGATCTTTGAATATGATCCCGAGACAAAGAGGCGATCTTCCGAGTGGCACACGACGGCGTCTCCTCGTCCAAAAAAGGGAAGAGCAAATCCAAAGTGAAAACGACGCTCATTGTCTTTTTTGACTTCAAAGGCATCGTCCACCATGAATTTCTTCCTCCTGGACAAACCGTCAACGCCAAGTTTTTCGTCGAAATGCTCAGGAGACTCAAACGAAGGGTCAGTCGGGTCCGACAAGACATTGCAGCCGACTGGAAATTGCACCACGACAACGCCCCGGCTCACACCGCCTTTCTTGTGAACAGCTACCTGACCAAGGCCGGCTTCCCAACGCTTCCGCAGCCGCCCTACAGCCCAGATGTGCCCCCCACATTTTGAAACGACAAAGGGGATCCAAGCAGCATGCACCGCGGCTCTCAAGGCTATTCCGGAGAATGCCTTCCGTGACGCCTTCAATGCTTGGAAATCGCGCTGGCAGCGCTGTATCGACGCAGAAGGGGCCTATTTTCAAAGTTTTTAAAGAATTGTAACGATTGGCTCAATATTTTTTTTAAATCGACTCAGTCCTATTACTTTCCGGACAAACCCTGTAGATCTTATTTTCCACCAGGGAAATAGAAAAAACAAAAAATCTTGAGCACTTCTAACCTCCTGCAGAACCAAGAAGCCCCCCAAATGGAGCATATTGATAGAAGTCAGATATTATTACGGCCTTGTAATGTTGATAGAGAAGAAGTAAAAAATACTGTTGTTAATATTTATTCCAGAGTGGCCAGTGATGAACATGAATTTGGGATGGAGGATATGGGGAAGCGTTATCAACATGAGAGGAGGTCCGGCATTACATCTGTACATAGTGCATAGGCATGTGGGCATTGACCATAACCTCCAAGTTCACAATTTGCCAGTCTGGAATGAATCTCAACAACATTAGATTTCACTTCTCTGTCGAGGCAACAAGTTATAATAATATCCTACACCTATCAATACACCCTAATTGGGAGGCTTCTGCGTTCTATAGAAGGTAGGGGAGAGATTTCCTGAACATGTCCTTCTAATGTTGATTTTTCGAAATGCTCAAGAACTACATGCAAGTAGATTTTTCGATTTGTTTATTTCCTGGTGAAAGTAGGATGTAAGTATTTTAAAAATGTACCTGACCTTGACCATAACCTTCAAGGTCACTGTCATGGTCAAACACATTGTCTACATTCTCCAGTTTTTGAGAAATCCCAACAACAATATGTTTGACTTCTTCTCCGCTAATATTACTTTAAAGTTTATGTTGTCCTCCCATAACCATCAATAACACTTACATGCGGAACTTTTGGATCTCGTAGGCACTCGAAGAGGGGTTTCTGGGGGTAGGACCATTGAAAATTTTGATCACCAGGTTCTAAATTACATCAATGCAAAATCCCAAACAATTCAGCTGAAATCCATTTTCCATGAGAAAACCGGGTGGTTCGTTTGCTTATTTTTGCGAAAACTATACGCCGTGTTACAGTGTTACAGTTTCTTAAATTCTTGATGATGTGAATTATTACAACGTTTTTCTTATTTAGAATAATAATTTTATAGCAGTTCTTAAAAATATCGAATTTTATTTTTTTAACAGAACACTTCTCCTGATCTAATAATTTTACGGTATAAAATCATACTCTTTCCTCCATCTGGTTAAAGCTCATTTTTTATAGTTTTTGTCGACCGTATATACGAGAGTTGAAGGACTATTTCCGGTGCTCTCGTGTAGGAGTTCAGCGGCCCACAACCCGCGGTAGTGAATTAATTTCACCCCCAGTCTGGGTTATTATCGGGTTGTGGAGATTTTGCTAGAAATCGGCCTCCCTTGGCGAATTTTATTGTCGGAGCATTTTTCTCACCCTCTTGGAGATTTAGCCTTTGCTTCAACTACACTAAAACATTGAAGGGAACTATCTGCGTTGATACTCCTAGACGAATTTAAGTAGGACTCGCGTCTGTGAGGAGTAGTCCCCCATTTCTGTGAGCCCTCATTGTTCGAAGGTTCTACCTTTGGGTATTGAGTTACTATACATCAGGGACTTCCGCCTACCTGTGATAGCCAAGCACCTGCCTGGCCGTTTTTTTTATTTTAGTTTTTACTGGAAGCCATTTAGTTGAGGGGGGGGGGAGGTAGTACAACATAACTTTCATTTGCTTGTCGTCCAGGACTTCTTTAAGTTTTTATTATTTCTTTTGAAAATAAATGTTTGTGTACCATATGAGTTTGTATCTCCCAACACTTTTTGCTTGTTACTTCTTTTCCTAGTGCTCGGAACTATGTGGCGGCCAAACCACAACCATTCGCAATCAAAATCCAAAGCACGAAGAACCACCCTCTGAAGGCTCATTAACTACGGACTGAGCACAGTTGCTTTCGCTAGCAAATTATATCTTGATCTACGCGGGATAACAACAGTACTAATTTAAGAAAACCCTGTATTTCACTTGTTTACGCATTCATGCTCATTTCAGGATCCCATACCTCGGATTCCGAGCGACGCTGGACGTGAAATGCCCCCTGTCGTACGCACCACGGTCTTTTCTAGCGAAGATGAGTGACGAACATTTGGAGCAATTGAAGAATAATCCCAAAACGAAGGGCCCTACAAGGATCAGAGCGATATTCCAATGCGAAGGCGCTTCATACCCTCGATTGCCCACCATGTACGACTATGATTTCAGACCTGCGGCGTCAACAGAGTCGCAGTCATAGTACAAGTTATCTCAAAATAAAGTTCGAAAACTTGGCAGCCACATTTTTTTAAAGAAAAATGTTATACTAAGGTTACATGAGAAAAAGGAAATTATATGATGACCTTAAATCCTGCGAATATCACAAAATATGCGTTTTCTGAAAAAGTACTTACAAGAGTCATTTAAAGGCTACTCTTGTAAATTCGAATAACAACCACAATATCCCAATTGAAACTCCTAAGGAGCTAAGGAGGTACTGTTGCGTCTTGTAGAAGTTCGAATTTCGCTGTTTTTTCACTTGAAACTTACAGAGGGTAATTCGATAGATCATTTTAAATGAAAAAAGTGTGGATGAAGCACGCTTGTCTAGAGCATTTTTTCCCAAAACACTGCATTTTTAGCAGTTATTTTCACCATTATTTCCACCGCCATCTGCCATATGACGTTGACGTCTGTGCGTATGTCATGTATGAGAGGCGCTTGCCTGCGGTGTTGCCGGATTGGGCCCCGCATTTAGGGAAAAATATGAAAATTGGAAAATTTATAATACATTTATTAATTAATGAAACACAAAAACGAAAAACTGAAACAAACAACAGTAGCAAAATGAAAAACGATTCTTAATAAGTATAAAACAAAAAATAACGATAGTAAGCTAAAAAAACAATAAATTGTCAATACACATGAGTAGTAAAGCAAAAAAAAAACTATTCCATGTAATTATAATAACTAAATTACAAACAGTAAGATAAAAAGCAATTTTTTTATAACTACATGGAATTGTTTTTCATTTTACTAATGTTTTTACCTTTTGTTTTTTGTTATCACTTAGAATAGCTTTTTATTTTCCTGTACGTTATTTTTTGTTTTTTATAATTACATGGTATTGTTTTTTTTTGCTGTACCACTGTTTTTATTTTTTGATTTTTATAATTATTTACAATTTATTGTGTCATACCTTACTACTGTTATTTTTTGTTCTATACTTATTAAAAACCGCTTTTTATTTTGCTATTGTTGTTTGTTTCAGTTTTTCCTCTCAGGGTTTCATTGATTAATATAAATGTGTATAGATTGTCCACTTTTCATTTTCCCTAAATGCGGAGCTCAATCCGGCAACACTGCAGGCAAGCGCCTCTCATATATGACATATGCACAGACGTCAACGTCGTTATATAGCAGATGGCGGTGAAAAAAATGGTAGAAACAACTGCTAAAAATACGTGTTTTGGGAAAAAATGGATGAAAAGCGTGCTTCATTCACACTTTTTTATTTAAAATAATCTATCAGACTACCCTCTAGAAGTTTCAAGTGAAAAAACAGTAAAATCCGAAGTTCTACAAGACACAACAGTACCGCTAAGAATTCTACGTCACAATGGACCCTCTATACGATCCAGCATAGTTTATAAACCTTTTTTACAAAAAATGTGTGGTTGCCAAGTTCTTGTTTTGTTCGGGTGTTTAATACATTTGTATGCCATCATTACATGGGGAATACAGTGTTGCCACAAGTCTTAACGTAAAGTTGATGCGAACTTTATTTTGAGAAAGTGTGTACGTACTGTCGGTTTTTATCTATACCCTTCTGTGCGATTTCAATATACTTTTTTTCACGTCGGTACATTTTGCCAACTAATTTTAGATATACTAATGGATGTTTGTGAATTTTTTTGGAGTAAGATATTTGACACTGGTTGTTTTTCACATTTATTAAACAACATTTAAAAATATATTTTATATGCAGTTTAACATTGTACATTTATATTTGACAGGTCCAGGTTTAAACAGCACAGGACAACTTATTAATCAGCAGAGTCTGTATGTTTATTCAAAAAGTTTGTTCTGTGAACATTTTGTCTCATGCAGGACCAATTTTTATTGTCTGACGCTTGTACTATTTTTTCAACAAGAGGTGCATATAAACGAGAATTTTTCTTCACTAACAATAGCAAAGTCTATTTTTTCTCGTAAAAGTAAAAGGCAAAAATTAGACCTAAATTTTGAAGCTTCTCTTGTTTTGTTGTAATTTTGAGGTTCATGTCCTGTGCATCTTTTGAGTACTCAAAAAAGTACATACATACATGTAGATATGACATGAAAAATCAGAATTGACATGCAACATTGAACATTATGAGACAGCCTTATGGGTTGTTCATTTGAATACTTCCCACCACGGATTTATCGATTCTGATTAAAAGAAAAAACGCCGAGACACGTCAAAAGATGTGTCAAGGTGGACAACTTTTTAACCAAAAGCTCCTTCACCCCATTTTACCCTCTGCCCCCAAGGTCGTTCCCTTAAAAATTTTAAATGACAAGGGGACCAATTAATAGCTTATGCCGAGCACATTGACTTTGGACACCATAAATTAGAATCATTTCCATTTTTTCGGCTAGTGGGTAAACCATTTTAGTAGTAAAATCTGGATTAATTTTTACTATCCCAAGTTTGTTACAAAGGTAACTGACATCAAATTAAAGTCTTTCTTACTCTTAGCAACAAATAACTAAACAGGTATAACAATAAATATAGTTCGCCCAGGATACCTGTGTTGATGAAGGGTATGCGGAAAAAAATTCGGGTTGTTATTTGATTGTTGCCAAGTCTAATCTTCCGAATTGCCGTTTATGATGATTTTTTCCGTTTTGAATTATAAACGAATTCTAGATTTGGCAAACCCTAACGGGCGACATTTTGAACTGTTATTCAAATA